CCGGAGCCTGTGCTCCGCAACAGGAGAGGCCACAGCAGTGAGAGGCCCGCGTACAGCAAAAAAACAAAAAACAAAAAGAGTTAAACAACAAGGTCCTACTGTATAGCACAGGGAACTATATTCAATATCTTGTAATAAACTATAAGAAAAGGTGGGAGGGAGATGCAAGAGAGAGGAGATGTGGGAATATATGTATATGTATAGCTGATTCAATTTGTTATAAAGCAGAAACTAACACACCATTGTAAAGAAATTATACTCCAATAAATATGTTTAAAAAAAAACTATAAGGGAAAAGAATCTGAAAAAATACATATATATATATATATATATATGTATATATATATATCTGAATTACTTTGCTGTACACCAGAAGCTAGCACATTTTAAATCAACTATACTTCAATTAAAAAAATAATAAATTTAGTAACAGTCCAACAAAAAAGTCTTTCACATAGTTATTAATATTCATGGAATTTGAATAAGATAAATTGATGAATTCTTGATCATTGTACAGGCCTTGTCTGTGTGCCATCATTGGTTTCCAGAGCAATATCAAAGTATTTTTATTATGGAATTTGCATCTAATCAGGTTTTTAAAAGTAAACATAAAATGTACAGCCAACAAAACATAATTTAGCAATGTAGTTTTAGGAAGTTATAAGCAAATGAGAAAATTGTAATGTGGCTTATTTCATATTATTTTTTTCTCTGAAAAATATAAAAATAAAATTTAGTTATCATGATTATAAGCCATTACTGTTTTTTGAAAGAAACTAAAATTGCTTTTTATAGCCTTTGAATTGAACTGCCTATTTTACTAGCATTAGACTTCTCCTACAAATTTTGGTCCCATTTATATTCTGTGAATGCAAGATTAGAAAGAGTGCTTAATGACAAATGGCTGGAGAATGTCACCCACTAAAGTAAATATGGGTGACAGAAGATGTTTGCCTCTAAACAATAATGCATGATGGCATGTAGAGTCTAAAAAATAGAGGGGTTTACCCCTCTTAGCTATTAATTTTATAGCTGGAGAAGCCCTTTAAAAACCAGGGATACCTAAGCATTTCCTATGTTTCATTCTGGTATAGAAAGAAGTATATTTACAAGAGTTTTGTGGGGGTTTTTGTTTTTTTGTTTGTTTGGGTTTTTCTTAAATTTTATGTATTTTTTTATACAGCAGGTTCTTATTAGTTATCCATTTTATACATATTGGTGTATATATGTCAATCCCAATCTCCCAATTCATCACACCACCACACCTCCCCCCACCAGTTTCTCCCCTTGGTGTCCATACATTTGTCCTCTTCATCTGTGTCTCAATTTCTGCCCTGCAAACTGGTTCATCTGTACCATTTTTCTAGGTTCCACATATATGCGTTAATATACGATATTTGTTTCTCTCTTTCCAACTTACTTCACTCTGTATGACAGTCTCTAGGTCCATCCATGTCTCTACAAATGACGCAATTTCATTCCTTTTTATGGCTGAGTAATATTCCATTGTATATATATACCACATCTCCTTTATGCATTCATCTGTCGATGGGCATTTAGGTTGCTTCCATGTCCTTGCTATTGTAAATAGAGTTGCAATGAACATTGGGGTGCATGTGTCTTTTTGAATTATGGTTTTCTCTGGGTATAAGCCCAGTAGTGGGATTGCTGGGTCATATGGTAATTCTGTTTTTAGTGTTTTAAGGAACCTCCATACTGTTCTCCATAGTGGCTATATCAATTTACATTCCCACCAGCAGTGCAAGAGTGTTCCCTTTTCTCCACACCCTCTCCGGCATTTGTTGTTTGTAGATTTTCTGATGAAGCCCATTCTAACTGGTGTGAGGTGATACTTCATTGTAGTTTTGATTTGCATTTCTCTAGCAATTAGTGACATTGAGCAGCTTTTCATGTGCTTCTTGGCCATCTGTATGTCCTCTTTGGAGAAATGTCTTCTGCCCATTTTTGGATTGGGTTATTTGTTTTTTTTAATATTGAGCTGCATGAGCTGTTTATATATTTTGGAGATTAATCCTTTGTCAGTTGCTTCATTTGCAAATATTTTCTTCCATTCTGAGGGCTGTCTTTTCGTCTTGTTTGTAGTTCCCTTTGCTGTGCAAAAGCTTTGAAGTTTCATTAGGTCCCATTTGTTTATTTTTGTTTTTATTTCCCTTACTCTAGGAGGTGGATCAAAAAAGATCTTGCTGTGATTTATGTCAAAGAGTGTTCTTCCTATGTTTTCCTCTAAGAGTTTTATGGTGTCTGGTCTTACATTTAGGCCTCTAATCCATTTTGAGTTTATTTTTGTGTATGGTGTCAAGGAGTGTTCTAATTTCATTCTTTTACATGTAGCTGTCCAGTTCTCCCAGCACCACTTATTGAAGAGACTGTCTTTTCTCCATTGTATATCCTTGCCTCCTTTGTCATAGATTAGTTGACCATAGGTGCATGGGTTTATCTCTGGGCTTTCTATCTTGTTCCATTGATCTATATTTCTGTTTTTGTGTTAGTACCATACTGTCTTGATTACTATAGCTTTGTAGTATAGTCTGAAGTTTGGGAGCCTGATTCCTTCAGCTCCATTTTTTTCCATCAAGACTGCTTTGGCTATTCGGGGTCTTTTATGTTTCCATACAGATTGTGAATTTTTTTGTTCTAATTCTGTGAAAAATGCCATTGGTAGTTTGATAGGGATTACATTGAATCTGTAGATTGCTTTGGGTAGTATAGTCATTTTCACAATATTGATTCTTCCAATCCAAGAACATGGTATATCTTTCCATCTGTTTGTATCAAGAGTTTTGTAAAGAAGTCAAGAGTGGTTGATTTTTGGAGAACTCCAGTTTCCACCCTGTCCTATCCTCTGACATCCATTACTTCAGAGTCAAAAACTCTTGTTTAACCCATGAAATGAGGTAGTAGTGTGCTTCTCAGAGCTGCCCAAACAACATAAAACTTCCAGCGAGTGGTGTTTGTGTGTTTTTAGCACTCAGCTATCAGAAACTCCAGAAATAAAAATATCAGGGACCAAACATGCTGGCAAACATGTGATTTTAATCTTAATTATATTTGAGAAAATGTTTGGAAGTAAGAGGTCCCTGACAGTTGGGGACTTTCAGACGTGAGTCACAATTGCCAGAGGATGACGGAAGGAGGGCTTCTTTCTCCAGGACAGTGTCTTCTGGGAATAACTTGAGGGAAGATGGAGGCCTGGCTTGGAACCTCCAGGATGGAAGGGCCTTGTTAATATGGAAAAGAAGTAGAAAGAGGGTGAATAAATATCATCTCTTGGAATAGAGTACAAGAATATAAGAAAGTTGGTCCAGTGTCACTAGATGGAAGGGAAATGTGGGAGTTAGGATAACGTAAAGACAGTATGGTGTTTTTCAAAAGCAACAGTATAAAATATAAATAAGTCAGCTATTAATTCACAATTTCTTACCTAGTACAAGGGGTTTAAATACAAGTTGGTAAAGTTTTCCTGATTTGTCTAGTAGTTAGAGCGAGCTGACTTTGCTGGATCCATGATTTGAAATTGGCTTAAAGTGAACCTAAGATCAGCAGCTGCCAACATTTTTGCCCTTTAAAAGATGAGTCATTCTTATCTGACCCTTTAAAACTGTAGCTAGACTAAAGAAAACTTTACATTGCAAGATAATAAATTTACTCTTGGGATATCTGCATATTTTAACTCATAATATTCTTTCTTTTTTTCGAAGATTTTGCAAAGCAGTAGATTCACCTTCACAAAATGAAATATATTTCCTGCCTCTTTTGTATGCAGTGCAATATAATTACCCTCTCTGCATATCAGACTGTGCCGCATGCTCTGATCGTAGCTTCCCTACAGCTTCAACTAGCAATGGTTCAGTATCATTACATCGTCACTAAATTACAAGTAGCCCCAATGTGTAAATTTTCCCATGAGCTCCTGCCTTTATAGTTTATTTCTGTACAGCCATTTTCAATGGGCAAGGGAAGTGACACCTGCCTCCTGACAGTTCATGCTTCCTCTATACCTCTCATTACCATGGTGACGGCTCTTTGTACAGAAATGGGAACTTTCTAATTTTGATGCTGTTTTTGCTTGCAAATTCAACTCTTAAGTGAATGTGAAAATTACCCCTACATTAAAATCAAGCTGTATTGTTAAGGTCACCCTACTTTTCTTTATGTAGAATATAAAACTTATCTTTAAACCCACCTAGATTATAGATGGGCTTTTGGCTCCATGGAGGAATGTAGAAAGCTGCCTCTAGGTAAAATGGCAGGAAGGATGGGACAAGAGGAAGGTGCTGGTCTTAACTCTGCCATTCCTGGCCCTGCTAATGGAATGGGAAATATGTGAATTTGACAGTCCCAGTGTGTGACCACTAGCAAATGTCCTCTCCCCAGTGAATCTCAATTTTATCATCTAGAAAATGGAGTTGCCACCCCATTGTCTATAACATGGGGCTAATGTCTACCTCACCTATTTCTCAGGGATGTTAAGAGAGTTAAATAAGTTGATACATGAGAAAATGCTGTGCAAACTATAAAGTGCTGTGCAAACTGTAAAGTACTATCCAGACATCATGATGGTAACTTTTACTAAGTACAAAGACTAAGCTGTAGTCTCTGTGCAAATTACCTCAGTGTGACTGCTGTTTCCTTCTTTGGAAATCTCAAATTGCCATCTGATTTCATTTATGTTTGTACTCTTTGAAGCTATTTGATTTACAGCTGGCACTACTTCCTTGTAAGTAGCACTATGCTCGCATCACCCTAGGGGTCAGTGTCAGGGCTCACTGCATAAAGGCCTTTAGTTCAGGGCAAGAAGGACTAGAGGCAAGTCTTTTAGTGATTGCTTACACGTTGCTGACATGACCAGTAGCCCACAGCCAAAGCTCACTAACACCTACATGAAAATGTCCTCTTTCAGCCAGCATGAAAATATGTCATGAAATCTTTTAAAATTAAAATTAACATCTTCTTTTATGTTTTAACTTTTCTTTTAAAAGCCACTTATGATGTTTTCTCAAGCCCTACAACATCAGATGAGCCTGAAATATCAGAACCCCACACAGGTACACCCAGCCTCTCAATTCTTTTTTTTGCATGCCAGGTATTCTGACAATACTGCACCTAGTTCCCCCTTTCATTTTTGCCGAATGAAAAAGTGCGCTCTCTAGAGCTCCACAGGTGAGACATGGCAATCTGTGTCAGGGAGATGAATTCTACCCACCTCTCCCATTGAATGATTATTTCTTCCCATCCATCAGTAAATAAACTCTGCCACATGTGGGAGATGCAGATAGATTAGGTTGCCACTGAGGCACAGTAAAATAATGGCCTATCTCTCCTGTGTTCAGAGTCATTCTAAAAAGCTTTAGACTCTTAGTTTTCCCTGGTGTAGTGGTTCTCCAGTGGGGGTGATTTTGCTCCCTTCCCCCTGAGGAAACATTCGGCCATGGCTAGATATACTTTTGGTATCTGGGGACGGTATTACTGACATCTAGTGGGTAGAGGCCAGGGATGCTGCTAAACACCCTGCAATGCACAGGACAGCTCCCACACCAAAAGAGTCATCCAGCCCTAAAGGGCAATAGTGCCAAGGTGAGAAATCCGTCTCTCGAGCAATCATGTCACTCATTTGTCTATAGAAGTTCAGTTGGGTCTAATGTTTGGCATTCACTTACTGATCTATCTACAGTGAGTTTAATTCAGTCCAATAGTTCCTTCTAGCAAGTATTTATTGAGCACTTACTAAACTAGGTACTGCAGGAGATTCAAAGTAAATAATACTGGTCTCTGCCACACAAAGACGTATGTCTGGTATTTGTGTGTGTGTGTGTAGCCTTATCTTAGCTCTATTGGTGCCATGATAAATAAAGGCAAATAATTTTAAATAGTAGCAGAAAATTTTAAGAAATGAAATAGAATGCTAAGAGTAGATTCAGCTAGCAGTTTAAGAAACAGAGGGAAGGAACCAGAAAAACCAGTTGAAAGTTCAATATATGAAACATTGTTTTATCATGGTTTAACATTTGAAGTTTGCATGTTTTTAAAAATGAGGTCATCTTCAACTCCTAATGAATCACTAGCTTTAAAATGTTGGTCAGCAATCTCTCAAGTGTTCTTGATATTTTTCCCCATTTGAGGCATAATTTATTACTCTGGAATTTGTATTTTATTCCTGGGGCCTTCTATTGCTTTTAAAAATGTTGACATTTATTCCAACAGCAACAAGCGATCCATTTCTGGATTCTGTCCCATCTAAAACTTCTAGAACTCTTGAACAGCCAAGGGCAACACTGGGTAATGTTTTTAACAGAAAAATTGTGCTTTGTTTTCCATCGAAAGAAAATCCATGTAAATGCCTTTCTTCCAAATGACCATTTAATTCCATCACATCTAATCATTTATTTCTTTCCTATTTCTGAATATAATATATATTTTTTCCTGTAATGCAGGCATCTTATGTTCCATTTTGGGCTCTCTCTCTCTTTTTTCTTCTTAAACCATAATAGATGATATTTTTTCCATCCTTAAAGGAATGAAAAGCTTTGAAAACTGCATGGACATCTTCATCATCCATATCCTCCCATCTCGTGTGTTTGTGGCCTGTATCACCTCTCTTCCATGCATTGAGTCTGCCTCGAGTCAGCTACTGAACAATCTCATTCTGACCTTTTCTCCACTTTAAATTATCATTTCATCCACCAGCTTTCAAGACAACATTCATGCATTTTTCATCCTTAATCATGTCCTTGTAGCATGTGCTTTGTAACACCATCTAAAAGCATGCTGAAACTCTTAAAATACCTCATTTTAACTGGAATTATTTGGTGGGATGGGGTGTTTGTGTTTTCAGCTCCGAGTGAAACACCATTCGTCCCTCAAAAACTGGAAATCTTTACCAGTCCTGAAATGCAACCTACAACACCTGGTAACTAATGACATTCGTATAGTTGTGTACTTTGAAAGAATGGATAAAGTGACAAAAAGAATCAGTCATGTGTTGGCCTTTTCAGAATATTTTCAGTAGTAAACATTTCCCTTCATTCTCTACCATGAAATTCTTCAAAGAACTGGGTTATCTGTCCTACTTAGCCTTGTGATAATCCTCGAAGAATTTTCATAATCTTGGTGTCTCTGTATTTTTTTAATTGAGGTAAAATTAATATATAACATTATATTAGTTGCAGGTGTATGACATAAAAATTCAGTCTTTGCATACATTATTTTGAAGTATTATTCCCTTTCTTCTTGTTATTCCCTATACTTCTTTCAAATTTGCCACTGGAAAATAACAGCAAAATTATAGATAATAATTATTTTAAGATACATTCCCTTCAATTAGCATATTTAGATACCACTTGGTCAGACTGTTTTTCTCCAAGTAGCCTAAGTATAAAGAGCACCAAGTAGGCTCTGCAATCCTGGATATGATAAAGAAAGATGAATAAAAGAGTAAAACAACATATATTCTATAATAGAAAATTATTGGAATAATGAAGTTCGTTAACTCCTGGTGAGGTTAGTAGTGAGATATAGAATTAAAGAAGTTCTGAACCTTCCATTCTCTAAATCTCAAATATTTGTGCTTCTCCCGTGCTGTTCAGTAAATCACCTTTTGAGTTCTTAACTGTACCTTGTGTTCTTAAATCCCACAAGGGTCCTCCCTTTCCAGTACAGTTAAGTGAACAATGTACCTTCAATTCTCATATAGAATTTAATTTCTTTTGACTCAATCAACACTTATTGAGCACCTACTGTCTATAAAACACAGTGCTGGGCATTCTAGGGATACAAAGAAATAAAAAGCAGTTCTTGCCCTCAGGAAGTTTACAAGTTTACAGTTACAACCTGATTGACCCCTGGGAAATACCATTTATCAAAGCTATATTAAATCTTCTTTCAGCTCCCCTGCAAACTACATCTGTCCCTTCTACACCTAAACGACGCTTCAGGCCCAAAACACCAAGAACTAAACCTGGTAAATAACTGTCTCTTTAACCTTTCAGGATATTTAATTCCAAATAGATAATGTCCATCTACTTATAAAAAGAAACGGTTCTATAGATTAAACATTCTCTGTAAAATTTGGAATTGACTGAAGATGAATAATTAATGCAAAATAACAAGGATCAAACATTTTCAATAAGATCTTATTGAAAATTATGTGAATGATGTTCTTTCTTTCTGGGAAATACCCTTCTTTAATCAAAGTAATACGTAAAGATTTTTTTTAAGTACTACAAGGCTTAGATTGAACAAGAGGAGTCCACTGCCCTACCCTATTCTACCCTTGAGACCCATTCTCCAATTCTTTAGCATGTTTCTTTTGTATTTACCTCCACATTTCTAAGTAATATGCTGCTGTTTCTTGTTAGATCAATTTTAGTGAATGATGTTCTTGCATGCAAATTTTGGTATAAACATAGAAACAAGTCCTACTGTCACAGTGATATATACTGTAATTTATTTTCCTGGCATGCATCTGAGTTTAAGTGTTATTAGGCAGACAGTTCCTGTTTTCGTTGCCTACTACTATGTTTTCAGTTTTGCACTAGGGCGATGGCTGAGATGCAGAGGACATGACTCTGGCTTTCCAATTGCTTGTATTTTTTTTTTTTTAAGATTATATCATGAACAATGAGAGCAATGTAAGATTATACAACCTGCTTGTGAAACTGTAATACTGTGTGGAAGCTCAGAAAAAGAAAGTACGAGTTGAGGATGTAAGCCTCAGAATATGTGTAGGGTTTAGAGGAAAAGGAGAGGGGAACAACATATATTATGGCACAGAGTTTGAGGTAAAGGTAGTTTATCAACCTGGATGTGACACTCTTCATTGTCAAAGAGTACACTCAGAATCATGCTCGACAAACCAGACTTTGATTATTCCATTGCTTATTACAATTTTTTTTATAGCTATACTATTATGACTAAATTTTAAAATTCTTGCCCCAAACTTTTACTCACTGCATACTTTGTAAACACTGACTAAATATTACAGGATTTTAAAAAGGTCATTCAGTTCCTCTTTGGAGGATTGTTTTTTTTTATTGTCTCTAGAATATTTTAATATATTTTTTTTTCCTTTCCACCACCAGAAAGAACCACAAGTCCTGGAACAATTACATCTAAAATTTCTAAAAGCCCTGAACCTACACGGACAACACTGGGTAACAATATGTCCTTAGTAAATATGTTACTTCATTTCACCACGGAAAGTCCAGTATGCCAGCTTTTATGTAACATCTCAATCACTGTTCTAATTGGATCATTTCAGCAGTACTAAATTATCTCATAGTGCACATCAACTCCATGACTTTCATGGTTTTGGATAGCTGGCCATGTGGTGGTTGATGTGAGCTCAGCATTTAGACATCATCCTGTACCTTGGAGAGCCGTTAAACCACTGATGATTTCTCATCTTCTATGCAACCATTGTTTTTAAAGCTGCGTCTTATACACAGTTCTCCATTTTTTTAAGTAAAGCCCTCAAGTTCAACTTCATTTGGCAAAACAGCTTTCTGTTATGGTGTTAGTAAAAATTTCTTTATGCCATAGATCATAACATTATACCTATCAGTAAATATTAATTTTAAAACATTTCTCTTTTCTGATGCTTAAAGATTTAGATGTGGCTGAGAAATGTGAAATAAGGTGCAAAATCATTACACTGATTTTTGTTTTCTAATCACGGGTTAAAATCACTGTCTTTGGGTAGTTGTGGTGACTAGTGACAATGCTATTTCTCTTGAAATGCTTTTTCAAAAAGATGAAAATTTATTACTGTATTTTCATTAAATGGTGCTCTGTGAAGTATTATTTTAATGGAATCCAAAATCATCCAAGATGACGGGTTTATAGCACTTGAGGTATAGGTTTTCCTTTTGCAGTTTTAGACACTGAAATGACTAATTATTGATTTGTTGATTATTTTGTTTCTTTATTTTTCCAGCTCCCAGTAAAACACAGTTTATTTCTTTGAAACCTAAAATCCCTCTCAGTCCAGAAGTGACACACACCAAACCTGGTAATTACCCTGAGCTTTATTTTGATATTCCAAAAGTAGGGTTGAAAAGTTATTTTATGCCACTCTTTGGAGCAAGAACTTCTGATTTGCATCTTGGTATTTGATATAACTTTCCATGAAAAGAGTGAAAGTGCGATGAAATGATGTCATTTATAGCCAACTCCTCTGATATTATCATAGCATCTCTCTGAGCTGTGTGGTGTTTCATTATGTTCATGACCATCACAGAGAAAGCACAGAAATAGAGTGGTGGGAAGGATTGAGGACTCCCTTGTCTAGGACTGTGAAATAGTTTCCAGTGCCAAAGTTGATTGGAACTCAGATCACACTAAACAGTAGCCTTTCAGCTGAGAAGTGGAGAAGTCTTTCCATCCCCTAAGAACTCTGCCTTGTTGGGGGCCTTCTCAGTTCTCGGGCTGCATGACTAGCAATGGTTGTATTTCCCTAATGTTCTATGGCTTCTTTCTAAATTGGGTCTGATTTCCGAACACTGACTTCTGTTTCCTTCTCAGGAGACATTAATGATGTTTTGCTGAAGAAAAGAGGGTTTTTTTTTTCTTCTTTTTTTGCAGGGAGGGGTTATTCTGTGTATGTAATTAAAAACAGAGACAATTCCCTGCACAAGGATTGCAGGACATGTTAAATGATCAAATTGTTTTTTCCATCTATCCAGAATCTCTACAACAGTCTGAAATGTTGATTTATGAGATTATATATGGGGAACTTCATCACAACTCATTATTTTCATCAAAACTTTAACCCCTTAGCTCTGGGAAGGATATATTTCTCACTGTAATATGGATTTTTCATTAATGTATATTTACAAGGGAGGATTATTAAAGCAAGAGGTTTTCTGCTTAAGTGGGCATGATTTGTTTTTTGCAAAGACATGGGTAAGGAAGAAAAGCGTAACTGCTCAGAGAGAGAATTCTCATGACTCCTTTTAAAGAGGCAGTGAGATTTCCAGGTGTTGCAGGTGTCAGAGGGAAAGAAATTATGGATTAGGCAAAGGGAGTATAGTTGATGCTGTGACCAGGGGTGAGGTCTCCAAGTCAGAGAAATGGAATGAAGTATTCTAACTCAGAGAGGTTATTAGGAGAAAGAAGCATAGCTAATAAAACTCAAGAGCCCTAGCAGTTTAAATCATAGAACTCTGACAGTCAGCTATCTGAGAGAAGGATTTCATGTACATTTATTTTAAAATTACGCCCAGAGGACTTTAGAATAAGGTAGTAACTCTTACATTTAAGCTGTATTTTGAATAGGGACCTATTACCAAGCAGCTCGAGAAATATTACTCTATGTTTGGGTCACCAACTTTTTATTTATTTATTTTTGAATTTTATTTTTTTATACAGCAGGTTCTTATTAGTTATACATATTAGTGTATATATGTCAATCCCAATCTCCCAATTCATCCCACCACCACCCCCTGCCATTGGGGGTCACCAACTTTAAGTAAATGTTTTTCCAATCTAATTATTTCTGTTGTTACAAGGTAACATTTGAAAACATCAAAAAATGTCTCCTAATGTTTATTACCATTTATTCATGATAAGCTATATTATTACTTTTAGTGGCTTCTGGGGGAATAAAATGTTTCTGAGAGGAAATTCATTAATACAAATCAAGGTGGGAGAGTGTGTTCTTATCACCCTAAGGTATTTGAGCAAAGAGATTTCTTAATTTGACATTTCCCTTTAAAATGGGGGAAATCATTTGGAAGCTAATGGGTTTATATTCCTTTGATTTCTACCTTCTAATCACCTAAGAATAGCCACACTCTTCCCCTAACAGCAAGTATCACCACTTCAGAATCTGTGCCTAAACTTAAGCTAACTCATGTTGACTCTGAGTGGCCTGAGGCAACATAGGGTGATGACTGGTTCTCTATAAACCATTGCTTGGGTTTTAGCTTTTTAAAATGTATTTATTTTATGGCAACCACCACTATAGCTCTGCTAAATACTTCTTCTCCTGCCAAGGTTCAAGAGAGCAAATAAACCACCAAAAGCTTTTTGATTTGAGTCATTCATTGCCTTTCTCAGCCCTCTCCTCACACTCTCCTGTTTTTCTGTTTCACTTTCCATACAGGCTGCTTTTCCTTTGGTTTTCCTTTGTGGTTAAGCTAACGAGTGAAAACCCACATTGGTTTTGGTTTGTTTTATAAGCAGAATCCAGCACTTTCTTGAAAATCCCAGACATCTACCGTGTCCCAACTTGTCTGCCTCATCCAATAAGAATTGTTTCCTTCATAGTTAATTATTAAGATTGTAATGACGTTCGGCTCTTCAAGCTTTTAACGATCTGAAATAAAGGGAGAGACCTCCGATTACAGCTGTTTGTTGTATGCATTTCTCTGACACGGTGGACAGAATAGTAAATTGTACTCATTGCTAGCCACAAATCCACGAGAGGGTTTTAGTTTTCTTTGTTTTGTGCTGAGGTGAGTGGTATAGTTATTTGCATGCCACTCAGCTTTTTTTATGGAACATTTTTGCACCTTTATCGGTAATACCTTAAGGCTATGAAATAGAGGAAGTCTTATCAGAAGATGTATTTACTTTTAATAAACACTGACTTTAATATTTTTATATTCAGGTGAATTGGAAGCTTAATTGATGGGGCTCCATACCTATTTGGCCTCAGTCTCAGGACCTAAAAAATGCTGATTTTTCTTTATAAAATTCAAAAGACAGCATTCTTTGATCTTTGTGAAAGCTAAAAGGTGCTACAAGTACCAAATCTTACTTTTTCACACTTTTAGAAGGCAACTTTGTAGAAATTAAAACCCGAATTACAACTCCAAAGTTTCAAGAGAATTTTTGTTTTTTGCTATTTTCAGATGTGAATGCTTTTTGATATTGTATTTGATTACTGATATCTACTGTTTATTTTCCCTTTCTCCTGTAGACGCTGACATTTAGCCACGCCCCCTCCCCCTCCCACACACACATTTTTTTACTTTGCCTAGTGTACTTCTATCTCGTACATCACTGCAGCTCTGCCATTCATCTGTTATAATCTATTTCTGACAAGTTCTTGAGAAATCAGAATTCTTTTTTTTTGGCCACAGACATTCTAATGAATGATGCTACATTTCAGTAACACCTTGTGCTATTATGCCTTGCGTTCAGAATAAATGAAAATTCTCTATCCTAATTATTTATTATTATATTTTCTTTGTTAGTTGCTAAAGAGTCACTACATGCTTCCCCAAAACCTTCCATATCCCCTAGTCCAGAAATATCAGAGATAACCCTGGTAAATGTACTATAAGGAATACATAAGTGCAAAATGATTTAAGTTCTGTTAAGCTGGTCAGTAGGTGCCATATTAATTGGTTTCTTTCTGTAAGAAAAAAAAAGTCAAAGCATATTCACTTTGTTTTGTATTTCAACAACTGATTTCCTTTTTTATTTTCTTCTTGAAAGAAAAGAATTCTTTTTGTTCTACAGAATAGGAAACCTCTATTGGATGATCTTCTTTTAAAAAACCCAAATAGACTTTTTAACCAAACTATATTCAGCATGAGGTATAATTTATTTACTGCTAATCTGAATGGCATTGGAGAATTTATCTGTCAGAATATTTATATAATATTGTTATTCAATTTATTCAGCATTTGATGAAATCTGAGACTACTTTCTGACTTCTATTGATTTGATAATTTAAATGGAATAAATTTCATGTGTAAATCAATTTGTTCACCAGCAATAGATACTAGTAAATACGGGGAACACCGTATGAACACTTGTGGCCCCTTTTAGACTGTAAGTTCCATTCCTATTTTTTGTGAAAGAATATCAGATCCAGTCAGGCTGAAAATCATCCCAAACTAACAGAGCTCAGGCACGGTCACAGGTCTGATGGGTCTGTTGCCTCTTCCCATTTTCTTGGGTGAAACCGACTGTCCTGCATGAAAATAAAATGGCAGGTGAACAACCTCTGAGAGGCTACACTGACTTCCTTTAATATCTCCTCAGGCATGAGGAGCAGTAGTGGGGAAAATAGCTAAAAATCAACAACAAAAATTAGAATTCTCTATTCTTTCTTCTGTTGTGGTTTGTGGAGAGGCTGCAGGCTGATTGAGCTTTATTTCATAAGCCAATAGAACCTGATGGTTCACCAATGAGAGAACACTTATTATGGTAAAGGACCTTTAATTTCTAGCTTAAATGGTGCTCATCAGCATCCCCTTTGATAATACTTGCTTTTATTGCAGCCCTGGAACCTGAGACTCCACCACCATCACAGCCGCCAATAGGTAATGAAGTTTGCTTTAGTGAGTGAAAAAGAATTCTCTTTCTTTCACACCCTCTATGTTCAACTTTGTGCTTAGCTTTGGCTTTTCAAAAAATTATTTCTTTGTTGTCCTTCAGATCTTTCTTTCAGCCATTTTCACCAGAAGATAAACTCCCTGCCTGTGCTGAAGTGGAAGCTCTGAGACAGCCATGAAAGCCATACTGATTTTGATTTGTCACATTCCTTGTTGTCCCTCCTTGTATTTGAGCACCATGTCCTGAGCTTGTTTTAACCTGGTTATTTCCCATAGAGGACCATGGCTTCCCCGGGACATATTTGTGCTTTCACTTTTAGAGGTGTTTTTCTTACTTTCAAAACTCTAACATTTGCAGACTTTCTTGAAAAGCATTATGGTCTTTCCAGATCTAAATATCCTGATGTGTCACTAGGAAATTCATTAAATGAGAGAAATATAAAAATTCACCCCAGTCTATGTAGCTTCTTTTCCTTCAAGAGAGCAAAAACTGTTCTGCTAGTGCTGTCTTAGCCAGTTATTCACATTTTCCTTCATAACATGAGTTGTTGGTTACTTTATTGCATTTACATCTTCCAAATGAGAGTCATGCCTTTTTTTTTTCCATTTCTCTTTCCAAACTTAACTGACCAGCTGCGTTTTTGTTCATTTTGTCTAAAAACACAGGAATCTATTTACATAAAAAAGGAATTTCTTATATGGATAAAAGTTTCACCATTTATGATTGCTCAACTTAGTACTTAAAAATTAAGCATTTTTCGTATTTTACTAAAGTTCATCATCTTTCCGTTGATTTTGATTCCTTCTTGATCATTTTTCGTGCAGTCTTAGAACCTGGAACACTGGGAACTAAACCTTCAACAACAACATTAGGTAATGCAGTGAGTGACCTACCTTTTTTTCCTTTTCCTGACTGCTGGCATCTTTATTAACAGGCTCACATTAATGGATTTGTTCATTAATGTCCATTTGTGTGTGTGTGCTCTCTATTCCTTTGGAGAAAAATTTTAAATCCTATAGTCTAAAAATTATATCTCATTCCTTAAAAGTTGCCTTCCCTGAAATAATTTGAGAATTCAAAGCCTTTTTGCACATGTTACTGATTTACAGAATTTTTTTTTATTGGAGTATAATTGCTTTACAATGTTGTGTTAGTTTCTGCTGTACACTGAAGTGAAGCAGCTATATATGTATCAGTATACATATATCCCCTCCCCCTTGGACCTCCCTCCCACCCCACCCCCCTTCCCACCCATCTAGGTCATCACAGAGCACCAAGCCGAGCTCCCTGTGTTGTACAGCAGCTTCCCACTGGCTATCTACTTTACACATAGTAGTGTATTTATGTCCGACCTAATCTCCCAATTCATCCCACCCTCCCTTTCCCCCACCCCACCCCATGTTGATTTGCAGATTTTTAAATGCTAAGCGAAAAACATTTCCTTTTGAATCTTAGGCCAAATAAATTTTAGTTTTTATCCCTAGTGGCTTCTACAAGTAACTTTTCTCATGTTCCTGTTAAACATATACCTTCAAAAATTGAATGAGACCGTCTTCTCCAAGCTGTACAAAGTTCTGAATTTTCCACCTCAGAATAGAGAGATCTTTTGAACAGTTATTTATAAATATTTGGCAAAAAATAAAATAAAAATCCATTATTCAAGACCTCATTTAACTGGGCAAATAATGATAGAAAGTGGCAAACAGAAGGATACATATCTGCAATAAATCAAAGGGCTTAAATGTGCTTCTAAGATACACGTAGTATTGATGGTCAGTTTGTAGGGCCACCTTTTGTGTGTTAACTAGCTGATTTTCTTTCTTCAGCTCCACCAAAGACCAAACGACCAGGTCGTCGTCCCCGCCCTAAAACCACACCTAGTCCAGATGTGCCCAAGTCCAAACCTGGTAAATGTGATGTTCAGGGTTCCAATTAACATAGAAAGTGGAATATGGTAGTTTCTGATATAGTAGCTACCTACCGCCTAAATAGCTGGGCTTTAGGAACCAGTGTAGTTGATTTTTATATTTAAGGATCTATACTTTCTAAATTCACGTTTTATGAATACGTTTATATTTTTATTTGTAGTTATTAAGTATACACAGCAGTAAGCTGGGCCACTAAGTGGATCGTTAAAGTAGGGCACCGTAAAACTTTTACGTAAGATGCGTATTCATGGCAGATGAGATGTGGGAAAGCAATAGGGAGAAGAGGGGCAAATGGGAAAAGTAAAAAGGAAAATCACATTCAAAAAAAGTACACGGTTTAAGCAAAGATGGAAGAGTAATGTTTCCTTCCTCAAGATGCTGCTTCTTGACATAATTAGTATTTTTGGTTTTTTGCCTCTGTAGCTCTGGAACCTGCTACGGTACAACTGGAGCCCTTGGTGCCCACAGTTGCTAATTCTGGTCTCCTCCAATTGCTTTCCCAGGTTGTCACTTTTGCTTTTCCTGCTCTCTGCCCAGGCATGACTGCAATTCCATACACAGTGTCACAGTTTTGTTCCATGCTTTCCTTCACCTTTCCTATCTGGGTCTGAAGAGCCTGAAGATAGGAAACTTCTAGAAGAATTCTATATGCTAATTCAGGGAAAGTCCATGGTTTTGAACACAACTTCCTGGTTTTCTAGAAACTCTCTGTCCTCCCATGATGTGTCCTCGTGTAGAGAAAGCCATCTACTCTTTCTCAGGGACTTCCGTGCTCATCCTGGACTTGGCAAATGGCAATGTTTTATTCCAGTGTCATGATTACCATTTCATTGCTTTACTCATTCAACTTGTAAGACTTTCTCCCTCTTAAACAGCTGCATGAAATAATGGCTCCTTCAGCTTTTCTGTTTCTCTGGGGAATTTTTTTGAGTATGTTTTGATAACCAAAGTCACACACACTGTTCTTTGTCTAGGGTCCAAGATAAAAATAGTATGGTCTTTGTAACTTGAGAATATTAAAAGTCTCCAGCTGGTTTTATTGTTTTCAGTCCTAATGCTGTTTTGATTATAATTATTTCATTATAATTTCTCAGCATTCACAATAAATCTATCACTGGTTTACTTTAGAAAATTCCAGAAATAAATAGCCATGTAACATGCTGTATAATTTCAAGTATCTATGGGTTACTTTCCTGATTTCCTACTAAGCAAGTTTCAAATTTCTACCTTACTGTTTTTATACTGGGGAAAAGAAAAAAAAACCTATCCAGTAAGAAACAGAACTATTATACTTGTCATTTTAAAAATTACTTATACAGAAAAAAGTCTTCTTATAGTTCTCCTTACTTTTGTTGAGAGACACATTTTGAACATTTCCTGAAGGTTTTTTTCTTTCAGAAAAATCAGTAGGAATGGACACATTTCCCACCCTTCCCACCCCAGGAATTAATTTTGTTGTATATTCACTGAATTTATATAGTATCTTTGCTTGAGCATATGTGTCCTTAATTATTGACAGTTACAGCTGTGACCTTAATACTTTTTTCTTTAGCGTCGAAACCATCCGAAAGACCTAAAACTACACGTAGACCAGATGTACCTCAAATCCAGCCTGGTAATCTCTACTTTCAGTGTCTTAATCTATAACCAGGAAAACGGTGTGTAAGTAGCGCTAATCTTGACATTCACAGCTCTGACATGACACTAATTATAGCACCTTTTTCCTTCAGATTCAAAATCACCAAAGCAATTACTTCCTAAACCCAAAACCACAGCAAAACCAGATACGCCACCACCTAAATCCGGTAAACAATTTCCAGTGCTTCGGCTTAAGAAGCTTTTTCTCTGGGGATGTTGCTGAAGATGCTTACAGTTTGTCACACCATAAAAGCATAGAAACCCAAGTACCATGGTTTTTTTGTTCGTTATCTTCTCAAAGTAGCCACACGTGTGTTTCATGTGTTCAATGAACAAATTAATGTTTGGGAAATTAATTTTATATCAGATTGTCTGACAGATTCCACTCTTAAAGCATTTTTAGGTTCTGTCTTCTCAATTCGGGTTTGTAATGAATAGAAGCCTGGTTTTTCTGTATCTGGAGCATTTTTGAAAGTGATTTTAGCAGCTGCCACTAGGGAGGCTGACCCTGTGTTCTTCCTTTATAGGCACATGGAGATTGGCTTTCTCTAAAATACCTTATTGGCTCTTCAAATGGTACCTATGAACTAAGTGATTTTCTACTAAATAAGAAGATATTATATAATAGTTCTGAAAATTCAATTGTTTTCCAAGTGACATTTTCTCCTAAGATGCCAATTAGTATAAAATTCTAATTTACTGAGAGCATCTCTCATAATAAATAAGTCTCTCAAGGAGGCAATTTATATCAGCTTAGAATAAACCAAGTTCTGTGTCCTGTGAATTAAGCATCAATGAGAACCTAAAAGTCTAGCTTTCCTTAGTTTTGTTTCTTATATCTGTTTATTTTTTATGGTGCAGTCTTTGAGCCTGTTACATTTGAGAATGAAGCGCCCTCCACAACCATAGGTAACGATGGATGTCTTCCCTCTTGGTCAATGTTTCTCTGAACTTGCCCCTCTCATTTCTGTCACTGTCTGTAGTCTCTTGTGTAAACAATTGTCATTCATCCTCTTTTTCATTCATTCCCCAAAATTGTTTACTATTTTCAACAAGGACCTTTTTAATATAATTAGGCATTCTTACAGCTGCCGCTCAGCTTACAATCCCTGAATGTTTTTTGTTCTTTGATCATCTTCAGAGATAGTCAGATTGCTTGCAGCACTTGATGTTGGCAAGAGTTACGGGTGCTCTCTCCATCCATCATTCAAACCAGGACATTTTTGAAATCTCTGCTTTTATGTATGTATAATTTATGATGTGGGAGAGGAACAATGAAAAAGCTGGTTGGAGCTTGAGAAAATACAAATTGTCTCTTTCTCGCAAAAGTCCTTTCTTCTTGATTCCATAATGTTCGAATGCAACTGGACCTTTCTGTTGATAAATCCGTCCTGTGGTGTTGAATTCCAAACAAAATAGGGATTTTCCTCTTTTGTTTGAAGGCAATCAGCTTTGAATATTGTTTTGTCCTGTGGTTCTCACTTTCTATCTCTTCCGGATGCCATGTTTTCCTTTCGTTCAGAAGATGTTCTCAGATGTGGCTTAAACCAACTCTGTGCTATGTTATCTTGGACAGTCAGCAAAAGGCAATCTCCATATAAATGCTTACAGAGTTTTTGGTGATACGATATTTTAATGTTACATTTAATCTTATGGACTTGAAAAATAGAGACACTATTTTAAAACCAAGGAGTCATAAGTCTTAATTTTATACCAATGTGTAATTCAATCATTTCAGAATATTAGAGAATTAGAGGAATCCTGTTTATTCAGACAAAAGTTGAATTATTACTTTTTAGACCTTTTTCTTAATCATCTCTGTTCCTCACTTGAATAGTTATCTCCCAAGTATCCATTTGAAATAAATGAATAAATAAGGACAAATTGTAGCAAAGAGTATCACCTTTATTGTGGAGAAAGGGCACAAGGTTATCTTTTGCATAACTGTCACAGATCTCCAATAATCAGACTGATTAAGAACATTTTTAAAAATCCTCACCACTACCACCATTTCTCAAAAAAATATATTAATAATGGTGGTGAAAACCTTTCAAATACTAACAGAAGTTTTCATAATAATTTTTCAGAGTAATTTAAAATACATATCAGACAGCTAAGAGATTTTTTTGGAGCCAAGTTTCCGATACAGCTGCAATCATATAATTAAACACCAAAAAACCTACTTTTCATTGGCCTCACAGGGATGCAAAGTGCAAGGGGTATGGCTGTTTTGTGAGATAAATGGGTACCAGAGTACAGCCAGTTGTTACAGAACAAATACTCTTTTTCCAGAGTTCATAAATGCTTTTTAAACATTACAGGATTAAAAGGATTCATTTTCAAGATAATTTTGTTTCTTTTCCTATGTTTCTTAAACCTCCATTGTTTATTGTATTGCTTTTGGTCAGTTCCTGCCAGAGACATTGAACCTGTAACTCTGAGAACTGAGGCTCCTTGGACAACATTAGGTAATGACCTTTGATGTCTTCAGGCAAGAGCATTTTCTGTTCATGGTCCAGTCAATTCCATTACTATGTTGGTCAAAGGGTTTTCTCTTCTGTAAGATTTTTTCATCATCCCTTTTTGTCACTCAGCTATATTCTTTCATTTTGAACATATTGAAGATGTTTAAAATAAGTCACTTGGTTAGAATATAAGCATCTCTGAAGCTAGTGCAGAGTATCTATCACCCACATTATCCAGCTTTCTTAAAGCTTTACAGAGCCAGTGGTTCTGCTGAATTCCAAACGCAGTTAGGAGTCTCTGCCCTATAAACATCAGGTATAATTCTGTGGCCATCAAAAGAAAGTTGTTTTAAGATATTCCAGGCATTTTTATGGTCTACCAATGATTTTAAGAAATGAGATGTGTTTAGTCTAATAATGTTTAATGGGATGTATGCCTAAACCAAGTCATTTCTAAATATAATCTCCCCAGAGCAGGTGAGCCTGTGTCCCTCTCTAATGCGATGTAGACATGCTGTGCTTCTGACGTCCCTTGGATCAGGGTTCTCTTTGAAAATCTGATACCAGCAATAACAGTAAAGTTTTCAGATAATTAAAATAATGTTATATGTTCTTTCTCAAAAGAACTGTCAGCAGACAACCCCCCACAACTTTTTTTTGGCATATGGATGACAAAGAAAATTCCAAACCCCAGAGACAAATTTCTCAAGACTCCAGAAAATCTAGCAAAATTTTATAAAACCTAGAGCCATGTATCATCCTTTTTTTCTGGAGTCATAAGACAACATTAACCAGTTTCCTTTCTTCAGCTCCAAAAACATCACAAAGAACAAGAAAACGTCGTCCACGTCCACGTCCCAAACATAAAACCACGCCGAGCCCAGAGACACCTCAGGCCAAACTAGGTAAATATGTGGCTCCTGGTACCTGTGGAACCTTGTTGGATGTGATACTGTGGTGGGAGTGTAACTCGCTGCCTAGTAACCCTGTGATCCTTCAGGATGGATGCCCAAGTTACAAGTGCTCTAGTCAATTCATGTGACTTCCTCACACTGCTTAGTATCTTCTTGGTACCTTGTATTTTATTTGCTTCTCTCACCATTCGATTACATTTTCTCTTTGATTCTGGCTCTGCAAAAACGTATCTAGTATCTAGCCTATTTAGTTCAATTAGTCTCATATTTAATGAACTGCCACATTAGCATTTGTGAGGAACAGTTTAGAAATAACAAGGGACTTGGCTTCATTGAGGGAGGAAGCTGCTCTTGTGTGAAACAGTTCATATACGGATAGAAAGGAAAATGGGCAAAAGCAACATATTTATTGAGTTTTACCAACTGTTAGTTAATTCTTAGAGAAGTGAAAGATCCATGGGGGTGATAAGTGTCATGTGGACCTTGAAATGTGTATAGTTTGTAGATTTGTTGGAGGGATGAGCAGGAATAACAAACAGAAGCTGGAAGGTGCCATATGTGTGGATGACAGCAGAAGGATAGGACTTGGAAGTAGAACTTGATTGTGAGAAAGGAGAAGTGCAATGTTTACTTGGCTGGTGCTCAGAAATTGTGGTCAGCAGTGCTACTTTTAGATGGGTCTGTGAAGAGGACCTGAGTGCCTGACTTCAATGATTGGATTTGAGCCACTTGGCTGCAGCATACTCTCCAGTCAGCCCTTTTCTGTCCTGATAACAGAGAGATGAACTGACAAGTTTTGTAGACTGAATGACCCTTTGTATCTTGCTCTTTTATATGGCTTTGTTTGGACAGAGGTCTTGGTCTTTTTCCAAAGTGGACTCTTAACAAAAAGGAGCGTTGTCTGTTTTGGTTATTCATTACCAATATCTGCTTAAATATATCAACAATTGCATCTGTCATGACATAGATGTAATTGTTTGTTTTCCAGTATATTGTGTTATAAATTATACTTTCACATTCTTTTCTTACAGTTGTTAACCGTAATGTTTTTAGACAGATGCCTAAAGATTTTTCTAAGCAGAGTTTTCCATTATATTATCAGATGATATAAAAAGCAATACTTGTAGGTAACCGTGTAGGGATAATAAGGGTATAACCATTTCATGATATCATATATCTTTGTACCCTCACCTTGGAACTTTGAAAATTTTGCTTTCTGGCCGTAGAACCACACTACCCTAGTGAAGTTCATTTTCAAGAGAGTTCGGTGACTTTTCTTATGTGTTTAACAATTCTTTTTTTTAATTGCTTTCGATCATTTCTTGCTACAGACCTTGAACCTGTTACTACTGGGACATCTTTAGGTAATGATCCTGTACATCCTTCAGCAAGTGCTTTCTTTACTTGTTGTCAGACTTATCTATGTTCTGTAGAGACAATGATGTCATAATTTATTGTCATCCTATTGCTGTGTTCATCTTAAAATATAAAAGGCTTTCTTTCTAACATTAATGTGTATAAACTTTAATTCAACACATCTATTTGCTGCATCTCCCAGCTTGTAATTGCATCATGTCAATCTGAGTCTCTGTTTAAATAGTACTGTTTGTTAGAGCTGGGGGCTAAATGTGATTCTCCATATATTCTTTATTTAGACCACCAATATAGTGTCAATTATGATACCATGAAGTTTCTTTAAGCATCTTACTTTCTATATTTCAAGTTCTACATAACTTCTTTTTTTGCTTTATTGATGTTGCACCTAATTTTGTGTAGTTATTTTAGTAAATTACCAAGTGGAAAATTTGCCCAAGACTAGTTGTTTTAAATTATAAGTGAATAGTATAGGATGGTTTGAACTTCTCTCATGCTTTCACAGTTTAGCGTGATTTCTCATTAGGGACGCTTTCAAGAAAATGATAGTCCCTCATCTTCATTTCTTAAGCATAATTGTAATATAATTTTTAATCTCTAGAGAATTCTCAATTATGAAAGAAAACCTGTTAATATATTAAATGATAAAATTTCAAACCAAAGTAACAAAGGTGTCTCCACTCAAAAGAACTCTGGCCAGTTTTAGAAGGCTTAGAGCCCGGTTATATCATCCTATTCAGAGGTAATGGAGTCACCAGCACTATAATAATCCTAACTTTTCTTCCTTCAGCTCTAACAACAACAAAGAGACCCCGTCATCCACGTCCCAAACCTAAAACCACGCCCCATCCAGAAGTACCTCAGACCACACTGGGTAAATATGCAGTTTCTGGTTTAAGGAATCCAAGCATTCTACCCCAGCTGGGACCCTGAGTTCTGTGCACATAATCGGTACATGCCTTATATATCTCTTAAGAGTAAACACTATTCTTCTTATTAATCCCTTCTATATCCCCATAACCATATTAGCACCTGTGAGACAAATCAGAAGTAGGAATTATGCTTTATTTCCCAAACATTTTGTACTATAGTTGTAAACAAAAGCTGTTCCTGCATAAACAGGTAGAAAATAACATAGGGCAGCATGTTTATACAAATGTAAAATAATTTCTGAAATAGTACAAATGATATATGCTAGAAATATAGTAAATATTTGGAGCAGGAAAATATCCAGGATAATTAGGGGAAAGAATCAGTGCAGAATTTGGATAAGTGAAGGGTTGAGGGAACAAAGGCTGATAAACAGGGAATGTGCTGAAGGAAGCTGGTGACCAGACAGAGGATGACTTGGTGATAACACTCCTGTTGAATGGGCCTCTATAGGATGAAATAAAGGGGACTGGGATGTCTACTCGAGAGCTTAAGTTTGATCCAGTGGGCTTCACTGATCCTTACTTCTACACAGGACCATGCTTTTTCTATTCTTAGAACTGAAGATGCTTCGTTTAATATGATACCACAAACTGAGAGGTTGTTCCTCACCTTATTATATTAAATGCCACTCTCTTCACTAAGGACTTAGCGAGTATGGTCTCAGCTTCTTTTTGGCTCTCTGTTCTATGTGTGGTGGGCAGACCCTAGGGTGAAGCCCTACTCCCCACCGCCTCTACCTCTCACCTCCCACCCCTATAGTTCCTGCCTCTTGGTTTTAAACTTTTGTGTAATCCATCCTTGCCCTTCCCTTTTCCCCTTCGAAGCATTATTTTTACTGTTAAGATGAATTTTCTGACATTTCATGCACTCACAAAAATCTCTTTGATTTCTTTTCTTACTTTTGATCAGTTCCTGCCACAATCCCTGAACCAGTTACTCTTAGGACCGAGGCTCCAGGGACGACCATAGGTAATGACACATTATGTCCATAAGCATCTGCTCCTACTCATTTCAGACCCATTTCGCCACTGTCATAACCACAAGACTCTGTGTCATCCTCTGTTGTCATTCAATTACTTCCTAATATATTGAAGAGTATTAAAACAACTCATTTGTTATTCAAAGAATCAAGTATGAACTTAGCTTAGTATACATATCTGTAAGGCAATGCGTTTGAATTTGTGGCATCTCATCCCTATGTAACCTTTTAATCACATTCTGTGTTACTGAGTTTCAGACACAATCAATGGGGGTTAGGGGTGGGCGTGTCTGTCCTTGATCCAAACTGAGTACAGTGTCACAGCCATTATGGTGTGACGTAATTCTTATGCAGATCTAAATTCCTATATTTTTCACTACGCGCACGATTTTGTTTTTATTTTGCCATTTTAGATAATGATAGTCTTTTTTCAGTAAGGAGTGAAATAGAAAATATGTCCAAGGCTAGTAAATTGAAGTTACCAGCACCATCATTAGTGTAAAGTCACCCTACCCCTTCCCCACCATCACAATAATTCAGTAGGTTTTTGGAAATTTTTTCATTCCAAAATCCCTTCTGAGAATATCCTTGATATATCAACTCAGGTTTCTGTGTGATTTTTGTTTTTCACAGTAATATAAGTGATAAAAAGAGGCAATCATCAAATACGGACAAATGTTTCAAACTCAAAAGAAAAATTTCCTGCAATTCAAGAAATTATAACAACTATAATCCTATCCACAGCTTCTGGAACTAAAAACACTCTATTAACCTGAAGTTTTTTTCCTTTATCCCCCAAAGTGCCTCAGCGAACTCATCATCCACATCCCAAATCTAAAACCACACGGAATCCTGAAACACCTCAGACTGAACTGGGTAAATGTGTAGATCCTGGTTGAGGAATCCTGCAGCCCATCCCTGTGAGGTCTAGAGAAAGTGAAGGGGCAAGTCAGGGCCAGCGGCCACTTTCACTCCAGAGCAGGCAACCAGAACACAGTCGGACAGGTCTTAGGAGGTAGCCAAATTCCTTCCCCTTTGTGAATTAGAATCTTCTCTCTAAATGTCTATTTCATTGGCTTCTCATTCAATTCTATCCATCCTTTATATATTGAATGTGTGTAGTGGACTGAAACAGCTATAGGTCAAACATATATTTGGGCGAATAGACTATTTCTTGGTAACTATTAAAGTTGTATAAGTCATAGTACAGATCTAAGGCAGGAGTTAGCAAATATTTTCTATAAAGGGCAAGATAGTAAATATTTGGGGCTTTGTGGCCTCAGTAATCTCTGATGTATAGTTTTCTTTTTTCCCTTTTTTTTTTTAAACAATCACTTAAAAATGGAAATGGGCTATATGAAAACAAGCCATGGGCAACGTTTGGCCTATGGGCCATAGTTTGTGAACCCCTGGTTTAAAGAAACAGTCAGGGTGGGCCAGAATAGTTAGGAAGGGCTTGAGCATTGAAATCACTATAGATTTGGATGGCTGGGGCGCGAGAGGGTGGGGTGAAGAAGTTCAGAAGACAGGACCTGTGTGGAGGCCAGCGAGAGGAGACAGAGGCTTTTCGGACCAGTGAAGGCTGTCAGCTTCTAGGTGCTGATCAGAGCATTTTATTGAAGCTGCTGTAGCTAAATGGGCTCAAAGGACCAGCTGAAAAGGAATTTTTACTCTTGGACTTAGGAGTTTGGGTTTCATGTAAGAATCATCACTATCCATACATGGTAGGCTTTCCTGGGCATGAGACAGAAGGATACAGCTGAACCACAGGCTGAATGGCTACCCTTTATCTTGCTCTCTTAAGTACCCCAGTTGGGCAAAGCTTGTTGTCTCTTTCCAAAGATGAGTTTCTAGCAAGTTGGGGAGGGTCTACTTTGGCACATTACCTAGACTAGGATCATCACAGAGTGAGAAACTTCAGGGACACTTCTCAGGGACAGTTATCTGAGTACAGAGACAATCCTTCCTGAGTGATAAACTGGTACCCGAGTGCAGACACACCATATCCCTCTGAGACTGTATAAATGTTTAACATTTTTTATTATTATTTTTGGTCGGTTCCTGCCACAGTCCTTGAAGCAGTTGCTCCTATCAAAGAGGCTCCAGGGACAGCATTCGGTAATGCCACTTTCTGACCTTCAGCAAGCACTTTTTCTGCTCAGTGTCAAACTTCTGCCCATTCCTCTCTGTTGCCATTTAGTTACATTCTTTATCTTGTGAGTTAAATGTGCATAAAGCAAGTTACTTCTTATTCTAAAGAGAGTCATCCCTGGATCTAGTTTGGGATATCTTCCTGCCCTGTAACTTAGTTAAAATTTTTTTCAGTTAAAATTTTTTTCAAGCCAGTTTGCTTTTAGCTCAACCAGAGTTCTCTGTTAAGGTAAATTTCATGTATTTATAAGAGTGCCTGATCCTGATCTATGCTAACCAGGCTGTGACAGGGAAGTTTCTTTATACATCCTTTATACACCTGCCTTTTTTATCTGCCTGTTTTTTTGTTTGTTTTTTTTTTGCGGTTCGCGGGCCTCTCACTGTTGTGGCCTCTCCCGTTGCGGAGCACAGGCTCCGGACGCGCAGGCTCAGCGGCCATGGCTCACGGGCCCAGCCGCTCCGCGGCACGTGGGATCCTCCCGGACCGGGGCATGAACCCGTGTCCCCTGCATCAGCAGGCGGACTCTCAACCATTGCGCCACCAGGGAAGCCCTATCTGCCTGTTTTTTTTGTTGTTTTGTTAACATTTGGGTAATATGTTTTTAGTGAATTGTCTAACAGATAATGTGATCAAGGCTAATAAGTTTAAATAGTAAGCCCCATCCTTAAGGTGAATCTGACTCCCCCTTAGTCTCCACCATAGTTTAGAAATAATTCTTAACCTTTTTAATGCAGTCAGGGGACTCTAGGAGAATGTGTTAAAAGATACCAATCTTGACTCTCTGAATTAATAATTCATTTTAATGTGTCAACTTTGTCCCCAAAGTATCTTCAATAACAAAGGAAGATACAGTAGCATAGTAGGGCCAAACTTTTCACACTAGAAAGAAACATTTCCTGAAACCGAAGAAAATCTATCAAGCTTTGGAAAACCTAAAGAAGATTCTGTTCAAAAACCTGTAAGTTGCAGAAGCTTTAAAGTAACAGAAATTTATCTTTTTCTACTTCCAAAAACATCCCAGCGGACATGTCATTCACAACCCAAACTTAAAACCACTCCAAGTTCAGATGCAGCAGCGATCACACCAGACAAAAGCAGGGCCCTTGGCTTAAGGAGCCTGGCAGCCTGTCACTGGTTGAAAATGTAAACCCATATACCCCCTAGTGAGGGAATCATGCCCCTTCAGAACTGGCGAGGAGTTCATGTTTGGAAGAGACATAACCTTCTCTCCAATTCTGGATAGTAAGGGACATGTTATACTTCTCAGTCTGCAGGTTAGTTGAGCACAAACGCTTTTCTTGTGTGAAAATCCTAGAGGATGAAAACAGGGCAGGGTGTTTTTGCAAATTCAAGATTTTTCTTAGGTACACAAACATTAAGTGTAGACTGATTATAGTGGCTCTTTTTTTTAAATGGAAATATATATATATTATTTTTTAACTCACATATAATCCAAAATGGGTGCTTTTGATCTTTAGTTCTTCCCTAACTGGTGATGGAGGGACCCCAAATTCTCTCATCTCATACATCTATAGCAAGTCTTAAAGAAGCGAAAAATCGACGTGGGCTTCAGTAGAGCAGAGAAGGAGTTTGGGCCTTGACGTCACATCCGAATTTGCACAAGTGGATAGGTGAGAGTGAACAAGATGAAAACATAGGATATATAGAGAGGCAACCAGAGGGGGCAGAGTCCCTGCTTCTTCTAAGTGCCAGGCAAAACATTTTTGTTGGTGATGATGCATTTGAATGACACTAGTTGAATAAGGCTAGTATTGTTCTTAATGAGCATCAGAAGTCTCTTCTTCCCGAACTTGGATAGTTTTCCCTGTACTGAGAGTGGACAGGTGCTTTACTGGTTGCCACAGACTAAGAAGTTGCCTCTTACCTAGTCTTCTTGTCTGGACAGAAGTCACAAGATCTTTCCAAAGCTGAGTTCTCAGCAAGATTATCAGAACAGTTTTTGGCTATTTGTGTAATGGCTGCTTGGTTATTTAGGAACTTTTTCTGCAACCATAATTTGATAAACGTAGTAGATATTTTCTTTATTCAGCATCCACAGAAGTACAGGTTAGTTTTTCACGTGCTTCTTGAGGGTTGTTAGAAACATATTTAAGTAAAAGCCTAACAATATCCTAAAGTCTACCATAGCAGACTCAGATATTCAAGCACTAACTACAGGAACTGTTTCCCTTTTGTGGTGCTAAACAGAGACCAAAGGTAATGACTGTCTCATGAGATGAAGAAGTCCCTAACTACAGTTTGGCCAAGTCTGAGCACAACAATTGATTTCCCTTTCTATTAGTCTGCTGGGGCTGCTGTAACAAAATACCACAGACTGGGTGGCTTAAACAACAGAAATCTATTTCTCACAGCTATGGAGGCTGGAAGTCTAAGATCAAGGTATCAGCAGGCTTAATATGTCCTGAGGTCCCTCTCCTTGGCTTGCAGATGGCTACCATCTTATTGTGTCCTCCCAGGGCCTTCTCTCTATGTATGAGCGTCCCTGTGTCTCTCCCTCTCCTTTATAAGGACAGTAGTCCTATTGGCTTACAGCCCCACCCTTATGACCTCCTTTAACCTTAACTTCATCTTTAAAGACCCTAACTCCAAACACAGTCACATTGGGAGTTAGGACTTCAACAAATGAATTCTGAGGAGAGGCAATTCAGTCCATAACACCCTTCATTCAGAAATTTTAAAAAAATATTCTAGAGGCAATGTTACACTGGCAAGATTCATTTTGACATGAATGTTGTAGCTCTTCATACACATTTTTTTAAAAACCTCTTTTGTTTATTACTTCAGTTCCTGTTACAGACCTTGAACCTGATACTTTTACAACTGAGACCTCTGGGACCACATTAGGTAATGACCCTGTGCCACTTGCCTAGATCTTTTGCTGCTCCTTGTACAGTCTGTTCAGTCTCCATCCCCATCACATGGCTTTTCCTCTTTCACGAGATGACCGCTATCATCCTGCACTGCCATTCAGCCACTGTCTTCACTTGAAGAGCCCTGAAGCCTCTTAAAAACAAGGTTCCTGTTGTTTTTAGGAGAGCAGGCATGAGCTTAGTTCAAAATGTTTACCTGCCACGGGGGGCATTTGAAATCATCACATCGCCTTGTGCTTCATTGAACAGTGTTCTGTGTTAAAGCTGAGTTTAAAACAAATTGGGATCTATTTCCTCTCTAGGCTGATCAGCAATAACAGCTACTCTTAAGCTCCTTTGCCATCTAAGTTTCTAGATTTTTAAAAAACTATTTGCATGGTATGTTTGTTTCTTTTTTGGTGTTTTAAGTGATGATGTGTTTTATTACTAATTTGACAAATAGGCAATTATCCAAATCTGAAGTTAGGGTCTTAGTGTGACCCTAACTTCCCCTCCCCTTGCACCAGAACTGGTCCTTCTCATTTTTCCCCCAGTGAGGAAGTTCTATGAGTATCTGATTACAAGTGCTAATTTTCATGCCTTGAATGAGTAATTTGACTATAAACATGAGTTTGCCTCCAAAGTACCCTCAACCTTAAAAAAAAAAGATGCATTGGCATAAAATGAGTAAAAATTTTAAACTACAAATTCATGGAACTTTAAAAACTCTAACAGGTTTTGGAAAAACCTCTCCTCAGTACCCAGAGCCGTACAATGTAGAATAACATAAGGCTTTCCTTTCTTTAGCTACCAAAGCATCACAAAGACCTCGTCGTCCACGTCCCAGACCTAAAACCACACCAAGCCCTCAAGTACCTCAGACCAAACCGGGTAAATGTGTGATTCGTTGGTTTAAGGGTGAGCCGTAGTAACCTGTCCAATTGAGGACGCAAAGCAGTGCCAAGCTCATATTCTCTCTAAGCATGAAGTCATGAGGCATCATCAGTAATGTCTCCTCTACCAGGTATTGAGGAGAACATGACTGGGTGAGATACAGCTGGTGCCAGAATACCATATTCTTTTTATGTGTGAGTCTTGACATACATTTAGTATATATTTTACTATAAAATTCCAGTTTTACTTCTTTAGCAAAGCCAATATATTACGTTCAAGTAAATAAACAAATTGTAAGTACCTTGCAAATTCCTGGACCAATATTGGCAACTGTGGGTGATATGCCAGCTGTGGGAGACATTTCATTTCTAAAACTGTAAAGTTGAGAATATGTTTGCATGGTACAGGGAAAAGATCAAGGTGGACTGGACTTGGACCTTGGACCTTGGGCTTTAGGCCCACTACAGGATTTGAATACATGGAGGGAAATGTGAACCAAGGCAGAAGAACCAGAAGTGTGGTGGTTGGGGGTACCTAGAACAGACTGTCCTACTTCTCATGGTCAAAACCTGGCTGTTGATGATGCTACATTTGGATGGATCCATCCAGTCATTTGAAAGAGGATTTTGAGGACCTGGTTCAAGAGCTTAGATTTGATAGAGAGACATCAACAGTCTTTGATTTCCACTTTTTCTGGGCTTAGGCCAGAGAGATGCTCTACTGAGTATTTCAGACTGAGTAACCATCTTTATCCTGCTCTTTTATTTGTCGTGGTTTGGACAGAGGTCTCAGACTCTTTCCATAGACTAGCTCTTAGCAAGACCAACACCGTCCGCTTCAATGAATAATTTTTATATCTGTTTCAAACTTATAAACTGTCTATTGTATCCATGTTTACTTAAACACAGTAAGGGCTCGTTTTCAGCCTCCAAAGAAGTACAGGTTGATCAGATTTTTTTAAAGACAGTTTCTTTTTTCAGTGTACATTAGGTAAATGCCTAAAAATATTTTCCAGTGCAGAGTTTTCCATATCAATTAGAATCCATTAGTTAAAACCTAGGAGAATTTCATGTTGACTCAAGATATTTCCAAGGATAAGCCTAAGACTGACCATGACTATCGTTTGGCCAAATGTTCAAAGAACAATCCTCTACTCTTTCTCTGTTTTTTTTTTTTTCTTTGTTTCTGTAGAAGGAATGATATATAAGCAAGTTTTGTTGAGGTGTGAATGTTTTAACTTTTCATGTATTTTTAAATCTCTTTGGTTTACTGTATTGTTTTTTGGTCAGTTCCTGCTACAGTCCTTGAACCTGTCACTCTTAGACCAGAGGCCCCCAGAACAACATTAGGTAATGATAAACTGTGTTTTCAACGAGACTTATCCTGCTTGTTGTCAGACCCAGAGTTTCATCTTGCTCCATGTAACAACAGTTTTATTCTTTGTGGCCATTCAATTACATTCTTCTTAAAATTATGAAAACCTTTAAATTACCTGTTGTTTTTAATAGAACTAGTCATGTGTGACCCTACTTTAGGATATTTATTTGCCACGTAACCTGTTTGAAATTGTGTCATTCTGTGTTTTATTCCAGCGGTGCTTGTGGTAAAATTGGTTTTCAAACACATCCCGATCTCCCTCTTATCTAGACAGATAAAGTCATCAACAGCTCTCATAGGGCCAGGAGGATCCATTCATTGCACATCTACATTTCTACCTTTTTTCTATTTGCATAGTATTTTGTTGTTTTGTTTCCATTTAGGTAATAATATGTTTTTATTTTAATAGTTAGAACATGTAGCAAAGATTGGAAGATTAAATTATAAACCTCAGATTGAGTATGACTGTTCTTCATTATCCATTAAAATTTAGCAACAGTTCTTAACCTTTTTGTTGCCCAGTCAAGCTGCTCTATGAGACTTTGATTATAATTACTAATCTTTATTTCTTATATTAAAAAGTGATTTTTGTCTTCAAAGAACCTTCTATGGTAAAAGAAGATATAAAAGGAGTTATGTATGTGACAAAAATCTCAAACTGAACAGGCAAAAATCTAACAAGGTGTAGAAGATCTAGAGTCATGTTTTTTGCCTCCCATAGCTTCCAGAACCATGGGTGATGTAGTTATGTAATAACCCAAGAATTTCTTCCTTCAGCTTCCAAATCATCACAACAGACAATTCATCCACATCCAAGTCCTGAAGTACCTGAGTCCAAACCAGGTAAACTTGTGTTCCTGGTTTAGAGTCCCAACAACCTAACCCAGCAGGGTGTTGAGTAATCCCAGTTTTGGGGAGTAACCAATACGCCCCATGAGAGTAAAGATACAACTCGTATTAAGCTGCAGTTCCCACTGTGGAACTGGCAAGAAGAGCACAGTAGGGGGAGATCTGTGGGGCAGCTGAATGCCTCTTGCTTCCTCTGTAAAATCTTTGTCACTGTGCATTTTATTAACTTCCATTTATCTCTTGAAAATAAAGCTTCCTGTGAAAAATTAGGCATATTCAGTTCAAATTGACAAACACTAAGTGCCTTCAGTATCCTCCAAGTTGTATACCTCTAAAGATGCTAATGTATCAGATGTGGGAGACATGTTTTAGTCCTCAAACCTGCAAAACAGTTAAGAACAAAAGCATTTCCTTTGTAAATAAAATAGAAGATGGCATTAGGCAGCATCTATGCAAATACAAGATTGATATTTGGGTGCTACCAACAAGATGTGCTAGGGACATAAATATTTGGAGCAGGGAAAGATAAATTTAAAAAGAGTGGATGCTTGAAATCATCCTAGTACATAGATGAGTAGAAAGATGGAAAGGAATAAAATCAGAAAGAATGGATATAAGTAGAGACCAACCAAAGGAGAAAGTCTAACTGTAATACTAGTATAAAGGATGTCTGACTTCAAGGTGGTAGTCAAAGCTTTTGTAGATCTTGATTGGTCCATGGACTCCCATGGTGGAGATCTTTAGGCACCTGATGAAGCAGTTGAGATTTGATCAAGTATATATCAGCAAGCTGTTCTTTGCTCCTGAAGGCATGTTCTTTCTTTGCTTAGTCTGGAGGGATACCCAATTTGATTCATCATGCTGAGGCCTCAGCCTCTTTCCAAAGATAAGTTCTTGGCAATACCCACACATCCCACTTTGGCTTATTAGTTAGAATCAGATCATCAAAGAAGGAGGAATAAGGAAATAGGTACCTGACTGAGGTATGGCCAATTTTTAGGAAATCAACTTTTACTCTTCTAGTTTAAGAGTTTTTAAAAGTTGCTATGTAGTTCTAGAACCTATATTATACTAGTAAGATTCTTTTGAAGTAAATATTTTGAGTTTATTTAAAACAATCACTTGGTTTATTTTTAATACTTTTGGTCAGCTCCTACTGCAGACTTCGAACCTGTTACATTCAGAACTGAGGCTTGGGTGACAACACAAGGTAATAACACACTGTGATCCTCAGTAAGTGCTTTTTCTTATTGTCAAACTCATTCCATCAACATCGAAGCTACAGGTTCTTTTGCTTCATAAAGCTGCATCGTCATCCTCTGTTGTCACTCCATGATATTCTTCATCCTAAAAGAATTGAAGTCTCTGAGTCTTAAAACAAGTTATCCCTTGTTTTTAAGAGAGCCGTGCATGAACCTAACTCAGGTCAACTGTTATACATGTAATCACCTGAAATTGTTTTTGTCATCTTGTATGTTTTTTAACCAATGTTTTGTAAAAGCTGGGTTTAAAAAGCAATTCTCTTGACTCTAACGACTATTATGGTGTCAGGGAGGGTTCTTTGTGGATCTAAAGGTCTACTGTTTTTTTAACTGTGATATTTGTTCTTTAACTGACATTTTAGTTAATGACATGGTCTTATTTTAGTAAACTGTCAAAGAATTTGTACCTGGCTATCACCACTACCATAATATTTTAGCAGTGATTCTTATCCTTTTTATTCAAACAAGAGTTCTATGAATGATTCTTCACTTCTTGAATGATTCTTCACTATTATAATTGACTCATTGCCAATGAACTTGTAAAAAAAAAAAAAGAAAACCATACTATTATAATAAGGGTGAAAGTTTCCAATTAAAAAGTTACAAAGACACATTTCCTAAAATATGAGGAAATCTAATAAGTTTTAGGAAACCTAGAGCCATGTGTCATGCTACCCATAGCTTCTGAACTATAGACTCTATAGTAACTGAAGGTTTTCTTTCTTCAGCTCCTAAAACATCAAAACGGACCCGTCGTCCACGTCCCAAACCTAAAACCACACCAACTCCTGAGGCACCTCAAACCAAACTGGGTAAATGTGGGTCTCTCGTTAAAGGACTGAGTCCTTGCAGCTCTTGGGAGTCTGGGTTTGATGCTAGTAGTGGGAGTGATAGCCGCTGTGAGCCCCATGTGGGTAAAGGCACAAAATGACCTGCTGCTGCTTCCCCATTAGCAAAGGAAAACATGATGGGGGAGACGCGCGTGGCAGCTGAATTCCCTGTGCTTTCTACACAAGGATCTACTCTTTTACTATGTATTTTATTTGCTTTTTCTTATTCCATTCCATTCTTCTCTTAAAGAAAAAAATGTCTTAAATAGAACCAAGCATCTTTATCTCAAGAAACAAACACGAAGTGCCTTCCGTCTCCCCACAGCCCATCAAGATCTGTGAGGATATCACAGAAGCTGGCAGCTTGTTTTTACTTCACAGTCTGTAGTAGAGTCAAATTCAGAACCTGCCTCAACGTGAAACATTAAAAGATTGAACCAAGGCAGTGTGTCTGTTCAAACTGAGCTGGGTTTTTTGTTGTTGTTGTTGTTGTTGTTGTTTTTGCAGTATGCGGGCCTCTCACTGTTGTGGCCTCTCCCGTTGCGGAGCACAGGCTCCGGACGCGCAGGCTCAGCGGCCATGGCACACGGGCCCAGCCGCTCCGCGGCATGTGGGATCTTCCCAGACCGGGGCACGAACCCGTGTCCCCTGCATCGGCAGGCGGACTCTCAACCACTGCGCCACCAGGGAAGCCCTGAGCTGTTTTTTGCAGGGGTTATAAACATCTCTGAGTTGAAAGAGAGAAAAGTCTGTGAAGGACAGGAATAAGGAGTTGGAAAGAGGTTGGGTCTTAAAATCATGGAGTTAAACAGACAGAAAGTAAGGTGTAGAGACCAACCAGAGAGCACAGACTTCTGGAATAAGGGAGGTTCTGCTTCCAAGAGGTGATGAATAGTACTGAGTTTGGATGGGTCCATAGGAGCAGTTGAAGAAAATCCTTGAAGGTGTGACTCAGAAGTTTGGGTCTGACCCTAGAAGCATCAGGGATCTCTCCTGCAACTCTCTCTCCCTCCTATCTAGGGTACGGAATTTATGTGATTAGAGCAGAGAGCTGCTCTACTGGGCACCACACACTATATGTTCTTTATCCTGATTTGCTGAGTGCCTTTGCCTCAAACAAGGTCTCAGCCTATTTCTAAATATGAGCTCTCAACAAGATCTACAAGATTCACTTTGCTTAATTCTTTTCTATGCCTCCTTTCAAACACGAAAGCTATTTATTGTATCCATGCTTATTTAGACATGCTATTTTCTTTCTTTTCTTCCAGTTTTATTGAGATATAATTGGCATACAGCACTGTATAAGTTTAAGGTGTACAGAATAATGATTTGACTTACATACATCGTGAAATGATGACCACAGTAAATTTACTTAGTTTAATCCATCATCTCATATAGCTACAAAATTAAAGAAATAGGAAAAAAAGATATTTTTCTTCCTTGTGATGAACACTTGGACATGCTGTTTTCTTAAAGCTTCCACAGAAAAGCCAACTGCCATAACAGTTACATAAGTATATATTTGGTAAAATGTTTAAAGTTTCCTAGGTCAGTCTTCTACAATGATTGGAATTAGGTACTTAGACACCTAGGAGAATATCATGTTGACTTTATTGAGATATTTATCAGTTTGTGTAGGCTGTGACTATCTCATAAAGAAAGTTTACCTGGCTTTAGGTGACCAAATCTTTAAATATCAAGTATGCAATTTCAGAAAAATAATTTCAAATTGTAATATACCTATTGAAGCACTATTATACTGGTAAGATTTAATTTGCTGACTTTTCACATGTGTTTATTTCCTTGCTTTTGACTAGTTCCCACTGCAGATCTTGAACCTGGTACTTTTAGAACTGAAGCTCCAGAAATCGTGGGTAATGAGAATGCGTGTCCTTCAAATAGTGCTTTTCCTGCTCATTGTCATACCATTGTAGCCACAGGTTCTCCTGCATCTTAAAGCCGTTTCTATACCCTCTGTTGTCATTCCATTACAGTCTTTACCTTGCAATTTTGCTACGTTCTATGTCAGGTTATCTGTCGAATTTAAGAGAACTGTGTGTATACTAATTTCAGGATGTCAAACTGCCATGTAACCACTCAATGCTGTGTCATGTGATCACGTGCATTTGCTTAAACGGCATTGGCTATTTTAAGCTTCCTTTCAAACATGAATTTCCATCTATCCCTTATTTTCATCACTCGCTTTTTCCTCATCAATTGTGGAAATACCATGTTTTTTTGACTGTGTTACTTTTTATTGAATTAGTATCTATGTGATTATATTGGTAGATCTCTTGTTTCAAGGAATGATGTTTTTAGTTAATGGTCAAATTTTTGAATGTGCCTGAGTCTTGAAAGTTTAAATGATGGGCTTTTGTGATAGAGTAGACTGACTCTTTCTCCTTCTCTAACAGGGTTTGACAGAGTTTCTTTTATTGAATCAAGGACCACTTTGAAATTTTCATGAACACACTCCATTTGTTACATTGATCCTTATACTTTCAAACATATGAGCTCGTTATTGTACCCATGATTATTGAAATAGTAGACATTTATGTCAACTTGTATAGAAGTACAAATTGATAAATGCTTTTTCCAGTAGTTAGAAAAGTATATATTATATAAATGTGTAAAACGCTTGTCCAGCAGAGTCTTTCATACCAGAATCAGATAATCAAACATGTAGAATTTCTTGTTGACCACAGTGATATTGAGCAAAGTGCAATTGTGTACTATTTTATGAGATTAATTGATATTCACCACAATTTGGTCAACTTTGCAAAGAACAAGTGTGTGTCTCTTTTCTCTCAGTCCTGAAGCTTAACAACTGGCTTCTGAAATTAGTCTTCAAGTGAATTTTTAAAATCTCTTTGGTTTATTTTATTATTTTTGGCCAGTTCTTCCTACAGTCCTTGAACATGTCACTCCTAGAACCAAGGCTCCAGAAACAACGTTAGGTAATGATATTCTGTGTTCCTCAACAATTTTTTCCTGCTCATTGTCAATCCATTCTATCATCATCATCATTGTAATAACATTATCACCAGCTTCATAAGACTATCTTGTCATCCTCTGCCATCCTTCAACTTTATTTTTCTTCTTAATAAGAGTATGGAAGACTCTAAAAAGAAGTTACCTGTTGTTTTTAAAAGCTATGCGTGGACTTAGATCAAAATGTCTGTCTACCATGTAATCTTAATTGAATTTGTATCATGTACTTTTGTCTAAACAGTGCTCACATTTAAAGCTTAGTTTCAGACATAGGAATTAAATCATAACAATTTGTATGGTTCCGTGGATAGGGGGGCATATTTAATTTCTTAGTGTGAACTTACTACGGTTTAATGATAGTCCTTACCTTTTTTAGGCATTTACAAGACTCTTCATTTCTTGACTTAATTTTATGTGCGAGTTTTACCTCCGAAGAATCTTCAGTGATAAAAGAATTAACAAAATAGGCAAACATATTTGCATCTTTAAAATATATGTCTTAAATTTCAAGGAAATATATTTAGAAAATCTGGAACCTTATTTCCAAAACCACCTTCACTAGAGTAATCCAACGTTTCTTCCTTCAGCTCCTAAAACATCACGAGTTCATCGTCCACGTCCCAGACCTAAAACCACATCAAGCCCTGAAGCACCTCAGACCAAACTGGGTAAATGTGTTATTTCATGGTTTGAGGGGTAAGCCCTAGCAGCCTGTCCCAGTGGAGTCCCAAAGCAGTGCCTCCAATGGGAAGTAACAGCCTTCATGTTCCCTAAGAGTCAAGGCATTGAGGTGTGGTTAACAGCTGCTTCTTGGGTGAAGTTCTTGGTCTCTCTTATTTATGGCAAGATTGGCATAGTCACTCATGTTTATTTATTGCTATATCTACATTTAAACACGTTATCAATTTATTATAGCTGTGAGTACATAAACATAGGTATTTTTTTTTCAGCTTCCAAGAAATGTAACAAGTTACTTTCACATATTTTTTTGTGTATATTGCCTAAACAGATTTTCCAAAGCTAGCTTCCATATGAGAATCAGAAAATCAAACACCTAGGAAAGGCTCATGTTGACCATACTAAGATTCATAGCAGAGTTCAAAGGTTGTGCCTATCTTCTGCAATGAATTATTCCTAGCTACAGGGACTGTTTGCTTTCTATGAATGCAAAACTTTAAAAAAATTGTCATTTGAAACTAATGTTTTGAAAGAAAAATTAAGACTTTCTATGTGTGTTTAAACTTTCTTGTGTTCATGTTGTTGCTTTTGGTTAGTTCCTGCTACTAGCTTTGAACCTGTTATTCATAGTTCTGAAGCTCCAGAAACAACATTAGGTAATGATTTTTGTGACCTCATTAAATGCTTTTACACTCATTAAAAACCCACTCCATCACTGTCATGGCCAGAGTTTCTCCCGCTTCCTTCGAGTGCTATTGTAATTCTATTTCATGCTTCATCTTTTACGTAGTCAGGATTCTTAATTAAGGTGCTACCTATTGCTTTTAACAGTTGTCCCTGGATCCAGCTGAGGAAATCTATCTTCCATGAAAACCCCTTTAACATTTCATTATATGATTCAGTGAAGAGTCTGAAGTCCAAATTGTTTGCCTTCTATTTGGTATTTAGATCTATAAAATGATAATAATTAAGTACCATGAAATTTCTCCGAGCAACTTACTTTCTGTAAGATTTTTGTGATATCCTCATTAATCTCTTCCTATTTTAAGGAATGAGGTTTCCCTGTTATATTAAATTACCAAAAACAAGTTGCTTCCTGGAAGTGTCAATTCTAGTGAATCTAAGCTACAGCTCCCCCATCACTGATGAACTTGACTATTCCTTATTCTCCACAACAGTTTAACATTGGTTCTTAACCTTTACTAAGTAGGAATCTCTCTGAGTATCTAATTATACACATTAATACCTATATCTTTAAATTAACAAATTTTGGTCTCTAAAAGACCCTCAGTGATAAGGAACAAATTAGATTGGTAAAGTAAAATTTTTTCAAACTCAGCCAATAAAATCAAGAAAATCTAATATTTTACAAAACATTGGTACAGGTACAATGCTGTTGATGGTTTCTAGACCTACAAATACAATAGCAACTCAATATTTTCTTCCTTTAGTTTCAAATCATAGGGGAAGAAATCCTTCTCCTAAACACTAAATTTCCCAAAGCTTCACAGTTTAAAAATCAAGAAAATCTATGGTTTTCTGTTTAAGGAGTCCTTCCAGCCTATTGCAGTTGGGCCCCAAGAGTGACAGTGATGTGGCTTGGTAACTTGCATTTCCCACCTCTGTGCCCCCTAACAGAGAAGGTAGAATCTCTACAATTTCATGTGGACAAGAAGGTTCATGGTTGGAGATTTATATGGTAGCCAAATGCATAAGGATTCTCTCTGACAAAAGATGCATCTTATTCAATTCTCTTAGCATTCTATTCCATTCATTTCTTTTTAAAATAGCACTGCTTCTTTGTCTTAGGTAAACAACCATTTCCTTGCCCTCTGTGGTCCCAGCACCACATTAGCAGTTGAGTAGGGTAGGGTGTAGAGCAGAGGAAGAGATCAAAAGTAAGGGCATGTTTTACCTCTTGAATAGAGTACAATATAATTGTGAAGAAAACCTGTTCTTGGGTTTTTCTTAGATAGAAGATAATTTGCTTATACAAAAGCAGCTTGTTTGGTAAAAAATTTAGAAAGAAAATATTTAAAGGAGTCAAGGATCTATGTTGGCTGATAGAGAATAGTTGAGCTTTGAAATTAAGTAGGATTTGAATTAGGGGTTGGAATGGTGGGAACAGCAAAATAAAAAAGTTTTGACACCTGTTGAGGGTACCCAAGGGGGTGGTCAAACTGGAACATAGAGTAAAACACTCCTAGATGATACTGAACATTTTGTTAATGATACTGTCATGAAACCAGCTGTAGGAAATACTTAGAAAGCCCTTGTGGGAAAATAGATTCAGATACAGTAGTCATTGAGAACCTCAGTTTTTCAAATAGGCTCTTCCTTTTTCTAGAAGGATAGTTAAAATCAGGGATTAGCAAATCAGCAAATTTTTTTATTTGAAGAGTTAAATAGTGAATATTGCAGACCATTCAGTCTGTCACAGCTACTCAGTTCTGCTGTTGTAGCTTGTAGGTAACCAAAGCCAAGATGTAAGTGATATGTGAATACGCCTTGAATCATCTTAGGTTGTAGGTGTGGCTGTGTTCCAATAAAACTTTATTTGAATTTCATACCATTTTTACATGTCATAGATTATTACTCTTCCTTTAATTTTTTTTCAATCATTTAAAAATGTAAAAATCACTCTTAGCTCACAGGTCGGGAAGAGGGCTGGATTTGGGAGGACCATAATTTGCCAATCTCTGCTTTAAATAATGCATACTCTGCATTGCCTCTCCATAACCCTGTGATTCTGAAGGTCTATGTGTTGCTACCTGTGAAATAAATTATCCATAATTAGTTTGACATCTTAGACCCTCTTCTTTCAGCTCCCACTGAACTGCATACTCTTATTTTGAAACCAGTGACATCACCAAGCCTAGAAATGACACAAAGTCAACCTGGTAAATAGATTATTTAATCTATCTGGTACACCATGAGCTTCAGGGGGCATACCCCAAATGTTGTATTTCCAAATATTAAAAAATACAAAAGAATACACATTTAACAACTCTGTATATTGTACATGCTCCTTCCATGATTGCATACTGGTGTAAATTAGTAATACATTATTTCATGTTAATTATGTTATTCAACTGTATAGAAATACCTATCTTCATTTGGGTTTGCTCTGTGTAATATTAGAGAATAATCACATATCTGATTAAGTAGTCAACAGAACCACTTAGAAGAACTGATTTTATTCTTTACCTTTATTTTTCACTAAGTTACAGACTTGTGGTTCTCTTTAGTAATAAGCTAAACTTCTGCTCTGCTATGTGAAAAGAATGCTCATTCAATTGTGACCATTAATGAAGGAGAAAGTTCTCACTTCAGTAAAGATAACAAAATTTCACCTTACACAATATGAGCCTAAACATTATTGCCTTTCAAAATTAAAAACAAATTTTAAAGATCATGCTTTTCAATGCTATTGCAACTCTCTGACATTTATTTTGAAACACCAGATCTTATTTTTAACATAGGATTGTAATTTCTTTTCATTCCTTTTGTGTATCTCTTAATTAGCTAAATGGCATTTTGATGCTTATGTTGATGGAACAAGGTTCTATGGTTGTTAATGATAACTTATAATACTTATAAAATTCTGAATTCGGTTATTAGAGTTTCCTTTAGGGTTAATAGTACTATTGTTATTATGGTAACGGCTGACACTGAGCACTTACAGGTACAAGGCACTTGTCTAAATACTTAGTTTGTATGAATTCATTCAATGCTCACAACAACCCATCCTTGATCAATTTTACCATTTTGTGTTTTTTGCTAGTTTCTGAAGTCCTGGAATCGGTTACATTTAGCACTGAGTCATCAAAGGAAGCTATAGGTAATAATGTTCCCCAATGGGAAGTCAGGTATATGTGCTTTTCCATCTCATTGTGGAAGTCATTTTGGGATGTCCTCATGCTTTATGACATTTCATGGCTCCTCACGTATTGCCTGTGCTCATCCAGTGAAACTTGACAGTCAAATGTTATATACAGCCCATTTTGCTAGTATCTGCTATGTTGCTATGCAAGTTTCACAATTTCCTTGCTTAGTTTCCTCTCATTGTGAATGCACAATTTCATTTTTTAATATCTGATCACTTTTAATACAAATATGCACATCCTATTTTTCATTTTCATATTGTTTTTAGGATTCATCCCCATGCTTTCAAAGGACTCACTCTATGTCTTTTTCTCACTAGAATCCTTAAACAAAAATAAGGAAGTGAAATTATCTGCTTTGCTCCAGGTAGAAATCGCTGTAGACCCTGCCAGTTATTGTGTGTGTGTGTATGTGTTCCACACTGCACACTGCCTTCATTTCCTGCCTTCATTGTAGTCATCTTCATAATCTACCTAAATGTTATTTATTCTCACAAATCTATCTACTTAATTAACCTCTGTTTTAAAATTAAACAGTGTTCCATTAAAGTGGGTGCTATGGGCTGTCCACCACTAACCCGCCATTCCCTGTTTCTTCCCTAGCACCAACTGAAATAGATTATGTATATTCCACTGCCAAAGCACCACTCAGGCCAGAGGAGTCAAAGACTGAAGGTGGTAAAGGTTTTCATGCTTCTATTCTTTTATTCAAAAAATTTTTAATTAGTATCACATTTCATGGAATTTGAAAGTTCAAGCTGGGGCACTTGATCTACAGTGGAATAGCTTTGAAGAGCTAGAGCTTCTAAAATTCTTGAATTCTTAAAATTAAAATGATAAGTGACTCTCTGAATACAGAAATTTCAGTTTCTCTGTGGTATCTAAATATTGAGGCATAATAAATTTGACAGTTAATGACAGTTAAAACATAAATATTAGTTGGAGGATTAGGGTTATAGAATAGGATTTCCCTCTTGATTCTTTTTTCTTATCCTAGTCCATTGTCCTATCTGTAAAAATGTGATGCAGATTCTCAAGAGAATGAGGTGTGTTGATATTCAAGAAAGAGATACTTGATTGTGGCCTAACATCTTAAGCTTTTTAAAATTGTTCTCCTTTGTTTTGATACAGTTGTGGAATCTATTACAAATGTGTCTGAACCACCTGAGATCACGCTAGGTAATGACATGCCCTGGCAGTTTTTGCCCTCATTGTCGCCATCACCTGAGAACCCAGGTTCTCCCTCATTGTGAATTCATGTTGCAACATCATTCTTTGTCATGGCAGTTAATTTTCTTTCTAGGTGCTTCTATTCATAACCATTGTCCAAAAAGTGTCTTCTCCCATTCAGCTTTGTATCTAGACCTTGATCTCTCTACTTCAGTCACTGAAACTGTCAAATCTAAAGTGTCTTTTTTCCTAATGTTAAACATTCTGTCAGCTTGGTATTACGTTGAATACTTCAGATAATATTTTTTGTATGATGATCCATTTATACCTTCTGCCCTAGCAACATACTTTCCATTAACACTCATTTCATCACATTCATTTACATGTTTGATTTTTTTCTTCATTAGTTAAACAAAATTCAATGCTGCTGAATGACTTATGCCTTAACATTTTAAATTTATTTTTCTCCTTACGGTTCCTCCTGAACCTATCTTTCTAGCACTGTTGGGGATGTACTAGTGTGGAGTGAGGATTTAAAAAGTAAGGCTATTGCTTACCTTGAAAGTATTTTGTAACCTGGCATCTCTAAGCAGCTTTTAAACTAAATGCATTATGAAGAAGTAGGAGTGCTATTTTGCTGTAGACTTGCAATTTGCTTTCTTTTTTTCTTTAAAATCCACTTGTTACCATCTGTTCTGTCATCTGTACTCAAGGTGTGTGAAGTGCTATAGTAACCCTGGGTACTTTCCTTCAATTACCGTAGAAACATCACCTCTGCCTTCCCAAACTGTAATCCTACCCAGCCCAGATGAGCCTCAGACCGAACCGGGTAAATACGTTATTTTGTGTTTCATGTAGAAGGTGAGTGTTTGCAGAACTTACAAGAATGGAAAGACAATATATATGGGCACTATTACTAGTTATCAAAAGCCCTAACTTAATCACTGCTCGCAGTATTTGACCCTACCTTTCTGATGCCCCACTCTTCCTTCTATCCATAATCTGTAGCCAGTCATATGGCAGTGTTGTGAACATTATTTAGGATATAACTCAAAAACACCTCTCAGCTACTCTGCAAGTCTTTCATATAGAAAATAGTAATGTTTCTGGGGAAGAACATTTATATTCTTTTTAAAATATAAATATCCCAATTTTAAATACTTTATCATCTTGACTAGTTTTACAAGGTCTGTGGTCATATAAAAACTATTTTAACATAGTTAATTTGTTTAAGGATAACCAAAACCTCCAGAAATACTGGAGCATTCCACAAAAAGGGGTACAAGTGGTCAGTCATCTTGTCATTATTCAGGTCCCTTACTACTTTCTACTGCTCCTTCCTGTGCCAGTTTGGCCATTTCACTGCATACAAATAAGAGAAACTGAAGTCAAACTGGTTACTTGGCAAGTCATAAGGGTTTACTTGATGGTGGAATTTGAAATATGGGAAAACAAATCATCAATGTGGATAACTAAATATTCTTCTTACAAGGGAAAATTTTCTCAATATCTGCAGGCTCTCTTGGAATGTCAGTTTATCATAAATAAGCCCAAACTTGTATTTTGATGACCATTAAACTATTTTATATGGCTCTATTTCCAAAGGAGATATGGATATTAATTTTATTCATTGTCCTCTAAAATGTCCTGTTAAATCCTGTTAATATCCTTTGCCTCTTAAACTCTACAGTTTAATTTTTACCAAAATTCCACACTGACTGCATTAACTGGATCTGTGTCAATTATCTCTAACTTTTCTAAAGTTTTGTTAAATAGCTTTAATCATTAATACGATTGAAATATTTAATCGTAGATACTATCAGTGATACTAATCTCATTCTGAATCATTTTTTATAGAATTGCCTCATGACATGCCTTTACCTGCAAGATGGTCTCTTATACCCTGGGGAAGCAAATAGCCTATCAGTACGAACTTCGGCAAGCAAAGCAGTTCAGAGTCAGAATATCACAAGACTAAGGACACCATAGAAATATAGAATGTTAGGGTTGGAAGGGCTCTTAAAAATCCTGTTACTGTTGATGAAGAACCCAATGTTGTAGACCGAGTGATCCGCAAAGCGAACTCTAAATCTCCCAGCTCCAGGCTCCTAAACCAGTGTAATCTCCAACATATCTTGTTCATCTCTCCACAGGCAAGAAGATTCCACTGAAACGATTGCATGCCTTGTATATTTTAACTAACTATCAGGAAGAAGTCCCTACAGACTCAGCTTCTTCTTTTATCTAATAACTCTTATTTTCAGCAAGCTTTTCTTAAGGTGCCTGAAACTCTGTGACCTTGAAAACCATTTTGTTTCTTCTTATCTCTCTTTATCCCAAACACACTGAACCCAACCAAACAAGGTATTTCCACAAGCTGCGATCTTTCATTTGATAATTCTTTTCCTCCAGCAGGATAAACTTTTAATTTTCTTGGTGAAGAAATAATTGATTTTTTACACTGAATGTCCTAGAACTTCTTTGGGAATTGCTCAGCAGAAGAATAACTTTCTTCAATAATGTATCCTTTCAATTTCTGTTCAATTTTTCTTCTTCAACATGACCAATAAAAATTGTGTTTTGTTTAACAAGATTAATTTTTTCCCATTAGCACTTACTATTAAGATACATTCATTTTCTAGGTATATTTGGAATGTAATGTGCTTTTTATTTAGAAGAAATTGTATCTCTTTGCACTTAAAATATTATACTGGGTTATTCTGATAAAACAATGTGAATTTATAATGATGAATTATTTTATTATGAAATTTATTTTTAACCTGTTTAATAGGTATTTGAAGTGGATATTTCTAAAATTCCAACAGTTTCATTTGCCAGCAGAATATCTTGGATATCTTTAATGTGCTGCCTTTTTTTTTCCATTATAATAAGAAAATTACCTTCTTATACTTTGTGGCTCTTTGGGAACTTTAATTGCTGTGTATTTAGGTCTTCAATTACTCAACAAACATCTCTGAGATCCTAGAGGTTTAGGTACTGTGACTCTTGAAGACCTCAAGAGCTCCGAACCTATATCCTTTCTTTTAGTGCCCAAGGAGACACCGCGAGCTCCTCCCAAACCAAAAATATCTCCACGTCTAAGAATCCCACCAACACAGCCAGGTAAATACTTATTTTATATTCTGGCCTGAAAAGTTTGATGTTAGTGGAGTTACTCTGTTGAATTATAGCAAGTTAGGTTTTTAACCCTTATAAAATAAGACTTCCTTTGAAACCTAATAAATATTTACATTTATTTTTAGACTTTATCAAAAAGTATATTATTGGAGTAGCTTATTCCAGAAGCTTCCCTTTTGTTATATTATTTGAGAGGGGGATGGAGGAGAGTGGAATTTCTTAAAAGAGTAGCCTGCCTACTCCCTTCACTTCTCGCAGCTTGAGAAAACCTTCCATGGTCCTTGAATATCCTCCCCCTGCCAATCACCTAATTTTTTTTTCTTTCAGTCAATTTTATTTAACATTAGGTCATGAAGATTTTTAATATATATCCTCTCCTGTAAAATAATAACATAATATTGCTTTGGTTGTTTTGCTAGGAATTTTGGGAAGGACCTAAACAAGAGTCATTATAAACTATTTTTTATTCGTTCAAGAAGCTCTTACTTGAATGATTGAATGATTAACTCTAACCCTAACTTCTCAACCAAGATCTTGTCCAGTTCCTCTGACTGTTTTGGCAGATCTCCATTTCAGGCTACCATAAAATTGACATGCCTCAAAGAAAGCTCATCTTTCCCTCCTTTCAGTTTCTCATTTATATCTGTTGCAGATCCTGAGCATTTTACATCGATTTTTATCCTCTTCCTCATCCGGCCTCTGCAGTCCATCAGTTTTTCCAGACATCTCTAACATTGGTCCCTACTCCAAGCATATACCCAGTCATGCCTAGTCTATTGTCATGAATCAACTGATCTCCTGTCTCTCTTCCCTCCTAATTTAAAATTGTACCACCCTTGGTGCTTAAGTGGCTGATTAATTCATTTCATCAGTTAGTCACTTAACAACTACTTATTGCATGCTGACCTCACACCAGACAATGTGCTAGACACTGGGAATGTGAAACAAAATTTCATCCTTCTGTAGTCAAGGAAGTTATAGTCTAGGCCAGTCCCCTAAATCTAAATTTATTTTTTATACATGGCCCACTTCCAAAAAGCATATGAAGTGCACCTACCCAGTTTACTAGGAAAGGAACCCTAACTATGACCAGTGGTCTGGGGAAAGGAAAATGTTAGCAGCATCAAAATTATGCTTGATCTAGGTAGTAGCTCTGAATTACCAACACAAATTCTTTAATCATATCTCAGTATCCCTACTGAAAGAAAAAAACTGTAGATGTGGGGATGGTCTTTAATATCTGAGAGGTATTAACACTTCCTTTAATATTTCTGAGAGAAATTTTACCTATTACTTTTTCTTTGAAGGAAAACTCCTTAAAAAACAGTTCCATTTACTACATCTAGCTAATGATTTTAAATCTGCTTTAATGTATTTTAAAATGTGTTTTTATTTAATTACTAAAACTTTGCTAAAAAATAGTATGGGTGTGATATGTAAGTAGATGAAGGTACCAAAGCAACAATCATCTGAAAGAATAAGAAATTTAAAATAATAACAAGAAATAAATTTGAACTATTAATATATAAGAAATACTGGGAAAAATAATTGATGATTAGTGAATAAGTAATGAATAATAGAATAAGAATAAAAAACAAAGCAAGTATATTAAATTTGTGGATAGGAAACTAAAATCTAACTTTAAGAAATCAGCAGATAAAATCACGAGAAGAAGCTCTCAACCTTTTATGTGAATATAAAGCATAGAACAAATGAGGCAGAAAAAGGAGAAATGGAAAGAAATAAGAAAGCATAAAACAATGAATGATGGAAAATAAGAGAAAAGATGAGAAACAAGAAGTGCTGGAAGTTAAGACATTGAGGATATAAAGTCCTCATTAGTAACATTTTAAAAAGTAAAGGAGATATGAACTAAGAAGGAAGACTTATTCATAATTTTATCTTTTTGAGCCGTACTCTGCACTTATAAAAATACAATATAGTAAATCAGGAGCTTACTCTAATTTCCCATTATGACACTGTATTCTAAGTTTCAACTTTGTTTGATTTTGATTTAGACCTTTAGCTAACCTTCAGAATGGATAGATGCATACGCTCAGTGGTTCACTCTCACTCTGAAACCCTAGAGTGACTGCAGACTATAACAAGAGAGCATCCTGATTCTGTCCCAACTGAGCAAACTCCCAGCCCATCAGCATCTCCCCTAGAAAGTAGCTACAATCCAAACACTTCTAGCTTTGTCAGGGCAACCTAGTGTAAGGGGACTATTTGGAAAATTGATCATGAAAATATGCACTCTACTTATTCCTCTTAAAAGTGGGTGAAATTAGGATCTCTCTTACCCAGGAAAATATGAGCTTTACTTAATAGATCCCAGCAATACCCTAGGTTTGTATAGTCTTTCAAGGATATTTGTGTATGTATACATATGTATCACTCAGTAGTTCAAAAACAAATATTTAAACCCTAGTAGTACTCCCTCCTTACCCCTGGCTAACTGTTGTGAATTTCAAAAGGCCATTTGAATGGGAGAATGTTCTGTTCGTACGTGCAATATCAATATCAAATGCAAATTATTATTGTTGGGCTATAAGGGCATCATCTAACAATAGTGTGCACAACTTAAAGAGCAATGCAATGTATTCATCTACCACTATTCTCAGAATGAAATTCTGTAATTGGGCATGCCACCTCATTTATACTTAAACTATGTTGATAAATGAGATAGCAAAAGTTAAATTTACTATATTTGGCATTTGAGGGGATAGTGGGATCAAAAATTTGGAAGAAACCATCAAGAATATTTCATCATTAAAATACAGGTTTGATTTTTAGATTCCTATGTTCATAAGTGATAATGAACAGTCCTGTTAATGATTTTATATCTAGAAATCTTATAACCATCAAAATTGCCCCTAATTCTTGAGGGGGCAAACAATGTGAAAAGCAAAATATACTCAGATCCTTCAATGTCAAATTTGTAAAGATTCTCCAGAAGCAGAACAGATATTTATAGGGGTATAGCTTTCACATCATTTTGACATTTCACACTTAATTCTCACAATCACCCTTTCAGTTAGGACCGGTTTATTAATTCCACCTAAAAAAATGAGGAACAAGTTAAAATGTGACCTGCAGAGCTGGGATATAGCGAGCCCAAGTGTTGGGACCTAGCAGTCATGTCTGGACCTCAGTGTTCAGGTTTTGTCTCTGGTGCTTAATGATCACGTGACCCCAGGCAAATAGCTTTAAAGTGAAGCTGATAATTCCTTCCTCTCAGCAGTACGGTGAGAATCAAAGGGCATAATCCTTATGAAAGTACTTTTGAAATTGTAAAATGAGCTATAAATAAAGTAGACCTTTTTTTCTTCCCCCTGGTATCTATTACATTTGCACCTTGTTACTCCAAAGGAACAGCTGTGGAAAGACAATTTTGGTTTGTGAACATGTCATTTAAAGGTTTATTTAGAGCCTAACAATTGCCGGGGATGTAGAATGCGAGCCCACCCATTCCATTCCGTTGCCCACTTCTCTTTCTGCTGTTCTGAGCTGACTTTAAGCTGCTCTTTTCCATACTTCATGGGCTCCCATTCTGACTTCACTGAATTCGTCTTCACAGAAAGACATGGGGATGGGTTTAAGAAGTCAAGCAAACTTCCACAAAAGTAGAGCACTCTTGCATTAATTAAATTGCTATCTCTTCTGAAATGATGTTTTAAAAAAATTATTCATCCTGTTCTTATGCTTAGTCAAATTTTGCTGTTTCTCAGATTTCATTTTTCTTAAAGTATCTGGAATTCTAACTGATCTATTTTTAGAGCTTAAGGTTTATTTTTCCATCTAAATCCCATTTCAATACTTTTTTAAAATCAGTAATCAGCCTTATACTTTGTCATACCTTATGTGTTAGGCAAGACTGGGAGATGCTAAAACCAAATGACTCATGATCCGAGCTCTCTCTTTCAGCTCCTAAGGTGTTCCAGCATGTTACTCCGAAGCCAAAGACATCACCAAGTCCAGAAGTGTCCTATACTCAGCCTGGTAAATGCTTTATTTCATGTTTAAGCCAAATGCATTCTACAGTCACACTCTGCTACAATGAAACATGAGGACTGATGGATGTGAGGTCCATGTTTCACTTCTGTTCAGGTACCGCGTTGATCATGCATGATATAGTCATTTCAAAGTGTTCATAAGAGTTATCTAAGTGCTCATATGGTAAGCCATTGATATAATCCAAAGGCAGAGAATTATGCCAAGGGTAGAATTCTTCTTCTAGAATTAAAATTCTCTTATTTTTTGACTTCCAAAAAATAACCTACCAATGTTAACTATGCTGTGCTCACGTTTCACCAAGATAAAATAAAGAATTGGGGATTTTCCCACAAAAATGATAAAATGATGTTTTACAAATGGAGGAAATGATGTTTAACCATTTTCTTGGGTTCAAACATTTTACACTATCCAGTATTGAGGGTCTTTTTCTTTTTTTTCCTTTTAAATTCTATTTTACCCATTCATGGAGCAGTTGCTTGAGTCAAGAAATTTGTTTCACACAGGAAAACTGATTTCTTTAGCTACAGATCAATTTCTTGCCTGTCATTTGAGAAGGCTTTTTGCCCCTTTATGGGAGGAATAATCTCGTGTTTGTGGGAGTAGTCAAGGTAGGGACTGCAAGGACCCAGACGTTTCTCTAGATCCTCAAGTGACCGTACAAAGCTGCTGTTAGCTTCACTAATTAGTTCACTGTTGGTTCACTAATAAGCCAAACCAAGTTTTTAACTAGAGTATCTGATAAATACAATAAGTTCCCCCCCTCTTTTTTTTAAGGTCCAGTTATTATAAATTCTTAGATGGTCCTGGAAGCATATAGAACATTCCTAGAACCAAAGGGTTTCTGAGCTGTAGCTTGAAATGATGGCATTTTGGAGGCAAGTGAATTCACTTGCTATCATGTTTTCCAGGTTGTATAAGCGCAGGGTGTTACTGTCGCTGTGGGATGGCTAGCTTGTTGCAGGTGGTGATAGGCTGAAAAGAGCCTCTTTTGCCCTGAAGTCTAGACTTTAAATTAGTACTGCTAAATGCAACAGTCAATATTATAAATGCCAATAAGGAAAAAGCTGATCTTCCCACTTGCAAAAGGTCAGCTTCTTGTTTTCAACTGAGGAAAAAATATGTAACAGAAATGAAGTCATTGCAGATAACAACAGTAGATATGAGTGATTATATTCACTTTTCGTTAGAGAAAGCAATACTATTGGTCCTGATATGACATAATCTCATTAAACCAATATATCTAATAGTTCAACTTTTTCTTTTTTAAATGTCTACTATTTGCCTTAATTCCATCAACACCTTCTTTTTCACAGACACTCTGATGTGTACATTTGAGCCCTGGAACAACAGCACAAACGCTCTCTCTGGAGACTTCATTGAGCTTATTCTATTGACTCTCCAGTTCCAAATGTTCAGATTGAATTCTGTCTCTAAACCTAGTGTTGGTCCTGCCATTGTGTCCATCAGGGGCTCCCCTATTGCTCCAGGGGTGTGATGCTACGGGAAGAATCACAGGCAATCCCTACTACTATTTAATGTTCTCCCAAGTGTTTTAACAGACTGGATTCAAACAGTCTTGGGGTTGTATCTAGGCTCAGGTTTGCATCCTAATGAGCCCACAACCTTGTTTACTGGCTCCTCAGAAAACAGGGTAAATTACATATAAACTTAATGTGTACTTGTACCTCTATCCTTTTTATAGAGATAGATGCTCTATAAAAATGTAAAAAGTAGTACTGAAATCAGGACATAGTTATGTTTTAACACAATGTTTATCTCAAAATTTATACTGAGAGATATCAGAAGTGACAAAACTGAATTTTTAGACCGGGACCAAATAAGTCAGTCTCGGATTATCTGTACAGCTCTTTCATTCTATAGATTCCTAGGTATAACACACGTTTCATCCAGTTAGGCCTTTAGAAAATATCTTTCAGTCACTCAGTTGAATTATCTACAACACTTAATGAGGAATCTAGACAAACTGAGCCCACACATCATGTCCAGAACCAAAACAGAACTGGCTTTTCTTTTGATCTGCCTTGGAGGAATGCTTTTGAATTCAGAGCAAAGGACCTGCCCTGATGCCTGGCTCAACAGAGCTGTGCCTTCTTTGTAGATTTGTTTCTGTACCAAGGGCTGTCTTGGCTTTGTTGGAACTTCTGTCACCACAGAAGTATTTGGATAGACTTCAGTCATCGGGAGCAAACAAGGGGCAAAAACGTTTAGATTTCAGCAGGCTATCCAATCCTACAAATGTTCTGTAACTGCTCTCTTGGGCAAATTCTAATTTGCAGTCACACATCAGCATTTTTGCAGTTAGGAAAGAAGAGACTAATGCTAAAATGTCTTTTGGAGATGGAATTGCTAGGATGTAGACAATGACTGAATGGTGTTATGGAGAGAAGGATGACACTGTGATTTCTAGCTTGGGCAGGTGGTAGATGATAATACCATTAACTAAGGCAGGGAACACAGAGGGAGGAATGAAGGCTTGTGTTTGTACATGCTAGGTTTGGAGGGCCAGCAGGACTGGTGGTTAAAATGTATTTTTGGATATCTATAAACAGAGGTCGATATTTAGGATGTAGATTTGGGAGTCATGTGTCTACATATAGAAGGTTCTTAAATCTTGTGAGTGAATGACATCATCCAGGAGAAAGTACAGACAGAAAATAAGAGATCAGAGATCAAAGTCGTAGGGGACACAGTTATATTTCAAGAGTGGACAGAGGAAGAGGAGCCATCAGAATTTGCTGTCAAAAGATCCAAGTAGCAGGAAAGAGGGACTCGAGAGGCAAGACAGGGAAGGGCAGCCGTCAATGACAGTGAGGTGGACAGGTGTCAGAAGAGCTGTTGGACTTGCCAGTGTGGGTCCAAAAGCCTGCATCTGAAACCTGTGGGCCACTGCTTCAGAATTCAGCAATTTTCAGACTTTGGCAAGGTAAAACAGCACATAGGCCGTCGATTACAAGCATATTCATAAGTCTGCAGTGGGAAGTATGAACAGTCACACTACTCAGGATGAATAAAAACTGCAAATAGCCTCAGGTCAGTTCTAGTCAGGTTTTACTGTCAAATAAGTTAAGAAAAAAGAAAACACTTTCTGTCTTCAGAGCATTTTGAACTTCAGAACTATGGATGAGGCCTCATGGATCTGTGGGTGCGGGAGTGGGTGCAGGAGATCAGGAAGCCAGTCCACAGTGAATGGAGAAGATGCAGTTAAGAGACCAGGAAGCAGAGGCAGATAGAGTTTTTAGAGGAAAGGAATAAGAGCAAGAAAGGGATGGTTTGAAGGGGAAGCCATGTCAAGGAAATGGTTATTAATGTTAGGATGTTGGAGCATTTCAGCTGTTTTATAGGTGGAGAGGGAGAAACTCATGGATAAATAAATATGGACTAATGGAGAAAAATAGAAGGTAATAGAAATAATGGAAAGCAAAAGGCCCCAGAGGAGATGGGAGGGAAGGTGACCCAAGAGCACAGGTAAAGCTCTGAAAGTGGTCTCTGAAAGAGCAGGAAACCTGCTTCTTCTCAAACTGGACCTTAGGGTACAAGGTTAGCATAAAGGAAGAGGGAATCTGGAGGTGAAAATGGTGTGTGGTCTATGTGTGTTACTTTTCTAAGAGACTGTCTTTGTAGCCTATTGCAGGGGTAAACCTTACTGAAGATTCCTTATTCCACCATCTCTATCAGAGAGCGACACCTTCATTCTCTCATCTACTCTGGCAAAACATTCATGCGTATTCATTTACATTTGTCCATATTGGACATTTCCACTCACAATTGTCTCACGTTAGTTGAATTGTTCTTTGGAAACGTGCCCTTTATTCAAAAAGACAGTTAATATAACTGTTAACTTAATTGGTTATTTAATATAAATGGTAAATTGGCCTATACAAATGGGTCTAAATATAATAATGGTAAGTAATCTTATAAAGAAGTCAAAACTGCCTTCTTAATACATTGTCATGATTTACACTGATAAGTTTCCTCCAGCATGGAAGATTTTGGTTTTAAGAATCATGCTCTTATTCAATTAAATATACGGAGGAATGCCACATTGGGAAAAAGAAAAAAAAACTTTGCATTTGTTGGAGCTGCCGTTGACCAAGAAAGAGAATGATTCATATCCCTTTCCTGTGAATATTTCTAGTTCTTTCCTTTCCACTGATTTCACCTGCTTTAGAACGTCTGGCATGGCAGTTATTAAATCATCCCTTCATGGTTAGAAAGTGCCAGTTGCAGCAGCAGGGATCCACATTAGTCTAAATTCCTCAGGAAACTAAGGCAGGCAGTGAATCATGTATTTACAGTATATGGTGGATTTATTGGTAGCACATTTCTTTTTAGCTTCTCCTTTCCTTAATCCGGCTCCTCTCTGTATAGTCTAGCACTGCAACCAATTAGGATGTTTATAAACTCAGACTGCTCTGTATAGCTGTGACCTTCTCAGACGCACACCAAAATGCCTTCTCCCTCACCCTCCAGATAACAGTTAGTTTGATTTACAACTGGAAATTCCTCATATTTTACCACTTCAGTCCTTAAAAATACTACATAGCAAAGGTGAAGTGTTCACTATGGTGATGGGTTTTCTTTAACTTTGTGCACCACTAATCTTTTTGAAGTTACCTTTTTAAAAAAAAAAGTCCAGATATCAAGTTCCCCTGGTGGTTACCCTTTAGCTCATAGAAGTTCTAACGGAGTCACATTTCGTTTCAGTGGACCAAATTCCACGACTGTGATTTCACTCGCACTTGCTTAGTGGCCTAGACTAAGAACAGATGTGATGTGCACGTTAAATGTGATCCCAAAAGCCATAAGAGAGAATGAACGTCCACCTTATATAATCTGTTTCTACACTAATGATAAAGCGCTGCTTGTCCACTTTATGGTACAAAAGTTTTCTTCATCTTTCTCAGAGGCAGAGTTGTAGCCTGAATCCTAATTTTTCTCCTCCAGCACCATATAAGATGCAAGAAAGTTACGCTGCATACCTAAGGGTATTTATGAATTTGGTGTGGTAGGAAAGCTTTTCAATGAGTGAGTAGGGTTGACAAGGACCTCCTTTTAGGGAAACTGAGTTAAAGAAATACGTCATCTTGCTCCTGAAAGGAGATTTGCCATAGAAATCTGGTACTAACAATAGGCAAATCACCCTGGTATTTTCCCCAATGAGAGATAAGGTATCAAATTCCCAGCCTACCATTTTATTTTGCCGAAGTAGAACTGGACACAGGCATTAAAAATATACTGGATATCAGGACTGAATGTGATTATTGTTTAGCGTATATTATTCTCCTTTGTTTTCATGTTCTCATATGTCAGGAGGCCCTAATACCTATACTTAATACCTATTATACTAGAAGCCATATCACTAAGAATGACAAAAATGGCAACATTTATCTAACATTTACTATGTAACAAGCACTGTCATAAACTTTACATTCGGTATCTTCTAATGAGTGACTGATCCTTCCTGCTTTACTTTCTCCCCATAATAACTGTTAGTGCCTTTTAGAATAAAACTTTGTTCTTCCCTTAGATATTCAAGAGTTTTGCCTTTCTTCCTGTTTTCCTCAATTTGTAGGCCATTTCTTTTTCTTTTTCTTTTTTTTGGTACGTGGGCCTGTCACTGTTGTGGCCTCTCCCGTTGCAGAGCACAGGCTCAGCGGCCATGGCTCACGGGCCCAGCCGCTCCGCGGCATGTGGTATCTTCCTGGACCAGGGCATGAACCCGTGTCCCCTGCATCGGCAGGCGGACTCTCTACCACTGCGCCACCAGGGAGGCCCAGGCCATTTCTTTAAGATAATGTATTTTCTATTGCTGTCAGTGGAATTTTAGCAGGAATATCAAATGGCAGCTATAACCTCTTCAGACAAAAACTGACCTATTGAAGACAACTTGAGGGAGACCTACCTCCTTGTGTTTAATTACATTAGTTTTTTCTTCCTTTTTTTTCCCTCAACAGAATCTTCGAAATGACCTGTGACCAACTTTGTTTTACTGCCATTAGAACCTTTCCTACACACTGACATTTTTCCATTTCAGAAAGATGGTCCTCTTTTTGGCTTAGCCCTTTAGCCATTGTGAAAACATCTTTGCTTCATTCATGCTTCCCAGGGTTTTAGGTCTATGGGTTAAGTTTCACTCCAAGTATGACATTTAGAGTGCACAGTGTTTTATAATCTTTTTCTTTCAGTTCCAAGAGATGTGCTCCTTCCCCATAAACCAGACCCTGAAGCCTCTCAGAGCGAACCTGGTAAATGAATTGTTTTATTTTCCCAGTTACGAAGTGTATTTTTCAAAAAATATTCTTGAGGTAAATATATTTTTGGAACGATTGTGATGTGGAAGAAGTTCAGAGAAAATTATGGATAGAAAATGTGTATTTCTTTTGGGGAGGTTTAATCATACAATCTGCTTGACAAATTTTTCCCCATGAGAGAATAGTATAGAATTAGTTTATTTTCCCTGAAAGTGTTTTTGTTGAATAGAAAATCATGCTAAAGTTATAAGATATAATTATTACCTGAGCCAACCATTTTCACCTTCTTTCAGAATGTAAATATTGCTACATTCCAAATGTGGGTATACTTTTAAGTTAAAAATATGGGTGCCTAATCAAATTTTCCTCATAGTGACAGTGAACGAAAACTTTAAAGTTTTGGTTGAACTAAGTTCCCTGGGTGTCACCTAAGGTATAGAATTTTCTCGTATTTATTATGATTCTAAGAGAATGTTTAAATGTTCAAACGGGTGCATTGTAGAGACACAGAAACTGGGTTTACTTCACCAGGTAGTAATTCTCATAAATATATTTCTTTGGTTTGCTTTTGGCCTAGTTCTGCAACCTGTTACCTTTAGAATTGATCTGCCAGAGACAACACTAGGTAATGGTTTTCCCATTTGACCCACTCTAATTATTTTCCTGGCTGCCATCAAGATTGCAGGTCTTTCTCAAATGATCACATTGAAACATCATCTGTCCTCAGTCCTCTTCGTTGTTTCATTCTCATTATTTTTACTCTTTCCAAAATAGAAAGGCAGTGGTTTCAAAATAGAAGGGCAATGTTCTAAAGGTTTGCTCTGAAGACCAACTTAAGACAGCTCACTACCGAGCCCATTCTCACCTACCTCATTTGTCTCTGTGTTCAGAATGATTCCACCTTACTCATGCCCACCTAGTTAACTTTTTCTGTTGGTTTAGTGGTTCTCAGCTGTGGTGTTATAACCCACTAACATGCTGTGGAAGATGCTGGCAAGTAATTATTATTAATATTGGTCAAAATACTAAAGTTTGCCACCAGTTTATTTTTAAAAATAAACTTGAGCAGACGCCAGGTGCTTGCCACAGTGATGATATTCTCTCTCCTGTTGTAATCCTATGTGCTCTCTTGGATGGGAGAGCTGCAGCTGACAGACCAAGGACCATGTCTTACCCACACCATGTCTTACCCACACCCGCTATGGTCATAGAGTATGTCAAGCACTGAATGTCATTTATTATCTATCCTGGTGGAAAAAACAGTTGAGAACCATTATTCTATGTTCCACAGTCATCTTCCTGAAGGTTCTATGCACACTTAACTTTCTTCTTCCTGACTCACTTAATGTTTTCTGTTTTTCTATTTCAAATAAAGGAATCTCATGTAATATTATTCTGGCCAGGTGCTGGCTTTTGAATCTAAAGATTGACAACCTTGGTACTTGTCTTTTCAGCTCCTTTAGAGACACGAGGCAGCCCTTTCATTCCTATGATTTCACCGAGTTCTAGTCAAGAGGAACTACAAACCACTCTGGGTAAATTTTGTTTTACTATTTCAGTCTGTTGAGGACTTAACATTTTAGGAATTGCCTTAAAGTAGCCATATGTACATTTGTGTTCATAGATTTCCAAACCGCAGAGGGTCTCTTTTTATCATTATAAAAAAATACCCATTTCACTTGATTCTTTTACATTAACTGTATATTTGTCCTTCTAATAGTTATGCTGATTTCTAATATAAAATGAGAATATCTTGAAACATCTTGACAAAATTCCAATTATTATTATTATTATTTTTGTGGTACACGGGCCTCTCACTGCTGTGGCCTCTCCCGTTGCGGAGCACAGGCTCCGGACACGCAGGCTCAGCGGCCATGGCTCATGGGCCCAGCCGCTCCACAGCATGTGGGATCCTCCTGGACCGGGGCACGAACCCGTGTCCCCTGCACTGGCAGGCGGACTCCCAACCACTGTGCCACCAGGGAAGCCCTCTAATTATTTTTTTAAAAAAGAATCTTCCCAAAGTATATCAATGCTATATTCTTTTGTTGCTTTTTCCATATTTGGAACTGCATTTGGGAAGACAAATTTCATCTAGTATTTGAATATCTTTTGGGAGCTAACTGCAATGCCAAGCAATAGGAATTCCAAAATAAAACTGTTTTAAAGGTTACCCTGGAGAGCTCGCCATCTGATATGAAGACAGGATTTAGCAGTAGCTGTGCTTCCTCTGTGCTACCCAGTGTTCTACATGTATTTTTAAATTTAAGGCACGTAACAACTTTGTGAGGTAGTTTCTATTACTTGCCCCATTTTACAGCTTAGAAAATTGAGGCACAGAAAGATTTAAAAATCTGGTTAAGCCATACAGCTAACGTCAGAGCCAAATTGGAACCCACATACTCAGTCACCAGAGCTCCTGGAATTCACCCCCATGTTATACAATACAATAAATTCATAGAGAAATGAGCAGCATGCTGAGCAAGGAAACTACCTGGGGGTATCAGGGAAGGCTTCACAGAGGAGGTGACATGTATGCCGGGTCTTCCAGTTGGAATGAGAGTTGAAGTTAAAGGTGTGAAAGGTTAAAGACAGATAGGGAAGAGACACAGGGTGGAGAATGGTAGCCAGACTAATCTGATGAGCATCCGGGTAGCCTGGAGGAACACAGATGCATGAATGAGTCAGTAAGGTTGGTTGGAATGAGCTGGCCAGGCTTTCGAAGAGTTCAGCATCAATGTCTTCACTGTGTGGGAAACCCAATTTTGCCTGACACTTGGCTGAAGATGAACTGGAAAACAAGAGTTCCCAGCTTGTGTTTGTTGGCTTCTCTGCCCTGTCCATGCTACATCCCACATGGCTGTTTAAATCAGTGGCTTTATTTTCCTCCCTTCATCCATTTTCAGATAAACCCATCCTTTGTGTGTGTCTGCTGAAATGAAGTTACTGATCACATTTTAAAATGGAATCCTTTTCAAAGGAAAAATTTTTTAACTGAATGAGCAAATGTATCCTAATTACCAAATACTCATCTATTGTAGCCTAGGTCCTCAAAGTCAACATTACCCACGATGGCAAAGTCAAAAGTACTTATCAAGAACCAGTGCTGGATGTGCTAATTATCTAAATTCCACTCCCTGTTTTTTTTTTTTAATGTACCCCATTTACTGGACCAACTATTACAAGAATCTCTCTTATGAGCAGAATCCAGATTATAAAACAGGCAGAAAATAAGATGACAACATATTATTTGCACCAAGTATTTCCTTGGATCCAGTATGTAGCAAAGTGAACAGTATAATTTGCTGTGTCAGTATGATGTTGTAATGATTTCAAGATAATATGGGACTGGGAGTATTGCCATACTTATTTTTATTTTGTCAGGAGTAATGCACCAGTATGTCAATAAACAAACTTTGATTTTCACATGAGATAAATAGGATATTTATTCTTCTATGGTGTAAATACACATTATTTTCTATGATCTATTTTTTTTCCAGCTCACCTAAATAATTTGTGGAGCTCATGAAATAGGGAGGAAACTTGAAGGCAATAATACATAAAGACAGGAGGCATATCCAAGAATATAGCCATGACCAGTATCATGAAACAATGATCCTGAACTAAAAGCTTTTGAAATCCTTATAATAATCATTAAAATAATAGTGCAAGAAGACAGTAAATATAATAAATGAGAGTTATTAAAATATACCATTATCTTTGACATACGATGGTTATTGGGCATAGTTATTAATGCAATTTACCCTTTTATCACCGCACGGGATAGAAAAGAGTAGGGTTTGTTTGTTTCCTTTTTGACCCGTTCATAATGATAATCATTTAAAGCCAGCCATCTTACTGTGTTTCCTCCAGCAGAAACAGACCAATCCACCCAAGAACTCTTCACAACCAAGTTTCCACGAACAACTGAATTGGCAAAGACAACTCAGGGTAATGCTATTTCCCCACCTCTGGATAGTAACTTTTCCTTCTTTTTTAAGCAGGAAGAAAATTTTCTTTTAAGAATGTAATTTTTCATCACAGTGAGTTAAGTTTTTTCATTGCATAGGTACAGGACATCAGCCAAATAGGAATATTTGTATGAATACCAGTTGAATGTAGGAAAGACAATTTCTTTAGTTAGAGCTGTGCTTTTGAATGTATGGTTGACTGCTTCATGCTGATGACTAAGAAAGAGAGCTCCCATTTTTTTTTCCTTGCTTGACCTTCTTTTGCCTCATTTTCCACATCTGATAAATAAGAATCTTTATTTCCTTCTCCTTCTTCTCCTCCTTTCTCTCTCTCTCCTCCCTCTGTCCCATCTCCCAAACTTGATCAACGCGTTGGTATTGTGGCCTGAGAAAGGAAACTCGTAACAAGAAAAATCATTTTTTAATGATGAATTAATATTAAAACATCCAAGAAGCTTTATTCGGGGGTCTCCTTATATTATTTTTTCCTTCTACTTTTTGGGAAGTTAACTCACCTACACAGAGCTCTCTCTCACATCTTCATGCTCTCGGTAGTCTTTGCTTTTTATATCTTTCTGTCCTACTTGGATTGTAACCAGTTGCAGATTTCTAGTATTTTCGTGTTTTCTTTTTTTCCCCTTAATTATGCTCTTTTGCCCACGTCTACCTCTAGCATATGGGAGAAAGCCCAAAAAACAAGAGCAAATAATTTTTAAAGAGTTGTAAGACAAATTTATTGTACTCAATTGTCAGTTATAATTGGGGAGGGAGCTTTGTGGAAGAAACAAAGCAATATGAGGAAATGATAATAAAAGAAATCTAATCTTAAGGTATATATTTTAAAATAAGCAGAGCAGTACTTGTTCTAAATAAACATGACTGACAATACTCTCTACAGTACAAGACAGTTCTTGTAAATTTTGTAAAACTTTTGAACTTGTTTCATTTAATTTTTATAATGGTTTAAATGTTTATTTTATTATTTACTTTATTACCTTTCAATTTATTTTTAAAATAAAGTTAATATACACGGAAGTAAGGAGCCAGTATAATGACAGCCCTCCCACACCCTCATTACTAGCTTCAGCCATTAACAGCAGGTGTTCAATCCTATTATATCCATACCGCATCCTGATTTTTATATGTTTATTTTTTAATGTTTTTGCAAACCTCTTTAATGTCTGGCTTGATAGAAGATAGCTGGATTCTCATAATCAAACACATTGACGTTTTTACAGCAAAACATATAAATACTTACAATAAGCAGGGTAAACACTTTATTCAGCTCAGGTTGTATTGCCAAATGAGAAAAAGATTTCAGCTTTTTTTTTTTTTTTTTTTTGCGGTACACGGGCCTCTCACTGTTGTGGCCTCTCCCGTTGTGGAGCACAGGCTCCGGACGCGCAGGCTCAGTGGCCACAAACCTGTGTCCCCTGCATCAGCAGGCGGGCTCTCAACCACTACGCCACCAGGGAAGCGCCAAGATTTCAGCTTTTCAAAGCTTTGTAGATTTCAGAATTGAGGGTAAAAATCATAGACCTGTTCTTTTCTTGTTTTTGCTTTTTCTTACTTTAATGGGAGTATCAATATTTTTATCAAATTGCTTCTAGAACATGGTTTTATTAGATGAGTTTCACAGTTGATTGGTTGTATATCCAGGATCTGATATCATTCTATGAATTGTCTTAACATATTTATATAATGTACTGTATTTTAATTACTTTCTTATGTTCTGAAGATCCTTAGCTTGAGCCTAACTTGTGCAGCTCCGGGATTCACACTTTTCTAGACTCATGCCAAGGCTCTTTAAAGTGGGCTCACCAGAAATGCATTTCCAACCTGGTCCAGGCCAGTAACCCTTCTTGGGAGTAGAGGGTCAACTTTAGTAACAGCACACTGTGTGTCCTAGGATCACCCTCTGACCCAACCCTCATAAATGCATGCCTGAGCTCTATGGACAAGGAGGTCAATCTAGTGTATTATTTTTATTGTGTTGTGTTTTGTTTCTAATAGTAGGTATCAGATGTGCAAGACAGCACACAACAATTTGAGAGATGCTGTAGGCGTGAAATTGTTTCTCTTGGTCTTCATACTCCACCCACGCATGTACCAGGACCTTGTGGCTTTTTGGTCTCCAAGCCCTCAGCAGTGGGGCCCAAGTGCTCCAAAGAAACTTAGTGTCTAAAGCCTACAGCATGAACCTACTAGTAGGATCTCCGGCACATTTTCTCTGCGTCATTCTTGCTTCTTTGTCTGCTGATACAATTCCCTGCAGCTATAACCGAAACCCTGACCTAACTCAAGCTGCTCTCCTTTTCCCCTCTCATCTCAACCCATGGTAGAAATCCACTTGGCCAGAGGCATTCTGGGGACATTTTGATTATTTTACTTATTTCAGCCCCCTGATCCGTATGCCACCCAGGGCATAAGGAGTCCCTGGGTGTACCCTTGTACCTTGTACCCTTCTTTCCCTCTCCCTATACTGGGCAAAACAAAGGTCCTTCAAGGTATTTCTCCTGTAATCCTTGTTTGTCTATTTTTGATGTTATCTTTGTCAAGTATTTTTAGTGTTCTTTTAAAATAATTTTTATAAAACTCTTTAGATATGAAGCCATCTTTTAAAATTATTTTTATTATTAGTGACCAAAAACTATGTGGAGATGATATTTACAATGTTACATTCTCACAATGCACCTTTGTCTTTTTTTTTTTTTTTTAGTTTAAAATTGAAACCCTCAAGCAGTTTTCTCAAGGCCATGTGTTACCTGGTGATGAGCTATGTGAATAACTCACAGCCCAAACATAAGTTATATTTCAGCTCCTTTATAAAAAGTTCTTTCAAGATTTAAGTAAAGACTGTATAAAAAATAAAACCAAAATTCTGATCCTGTGGCTTTGAAATAATGAATGTAGTGCTGATTATTTCTACACTCTGCTCTGTTTCTTTTCTAAAGTTTTAAAATTCATATGTGTTCTAGAATGATACTAATAAGAGCCATGATTCTTATATTTCTTTAAGCAAAAGCAATCTAACATTGAAGATATTAACAAGAAACCTGAAATATGTTCAACTGACAGGGAATCCTACCACTCTCAAAGAAAATTGAAGAAAAACATTTGCAAATCATCATCACACATCTTAGGCCATGTGAGAGTTGATTATTTTTAAATAAATCAGTACCTCTGTTCACTCTAGTTATTGCACTTTGAAAGGAGCACATTAAACCTACAGAGAATTTCAGTATGTGTCTGCTGGTTTGGGCCTGAGTATGGCAAAATTCTACTCATCAGTCCTCACATAGGAAGTTTATAAATGAGCTACATTATAATCTGTTTTGCAGGTATATTTTTTAATGTGGTCGGCAAGGCATTTGCTGATTTATGGTTACATAAATACCCGTTCAAGATGTGAACAAAATCATTGAAATGGTGTAATCTACTTAACAAAGTTTGCAAGAAAATTTTTTCCAGTCTTAGCTAAAGCATTACCAAGAAAGTTGGTGGCAGGAAGCAACGTGGTGTGTCAAGGGTGGCAGAGGAGGGAAGGCAAGGATAGACACATCCCAGGATGGATGCACACTTTAAAAACTTAGGGAGCAAAAATATTTCAGCTGAGTTTCTCATGAATTTGCCTGCTTACAATGGTCACTAATTTTTTAAATGTATTTGACAACTCTTCATTAATGGTCCTCGCTGTGCCAGGCCCTGGATAACAGGAGCAGGAAGTAACAAGGTGGCATGTTGGTCCAAGGGCTGTCTGAGTTCTTGATCTTTGCTCACCCTCTCTTGATGGGCAGGACACCAGAGGTCATTTTCTCTCATCCCTAAAGCTTTAATGGATGGCACTAAGTTGAGTATTTATTCACTTCCGGGTTCATGAGCTAAGACAATTAGATACAGACCACATGTTTCTACTCTTTTCTTCTTACATACCTAAAAATATTTTTCTTTCTGCCTTTAATATTATTTGTCTCCTTTGGCAAAATAATGTTTCACAGTGACTCCCTAATTGAGAGATGTGAATGGATGGATGGATGGGTTGATGGACAGACACATGGATGGATGAAGGGGTAGATGGTTGGCTTATATGTTTACCATATTAAGCAACCTTGTGGTGAAATAAATGCCCCTGAAAAACATGGACTAAATGATGACTAATCCTTAACACACATTACCAATGACCTACCTCACTTTGACTGTGTGCATCTTTAATTTCCAGGCATGAATATTTTCACTTGCTTTTTTTCCTTCAGCATCAATGCTGTAATGCATACTTGGAGATTTAAGAATATTCTTTATACTTCCATGCAAAGTGTACAAGTTGTTGGTCTGTAGAGTACTAAATCTCCATTTATTGAGCTCAGGAGTGCTGGTTATTAAATGTGAAGCGTTTCCTCTGTTTCAGCACCACACAGATTGTATACAACTCCTGTGAAGCCCAGAACACCTGACAAACCACACATCAGACCTGGTAAGTTGTTTCTCTTTCTGATGACCTAAATAATCAGCATATCTAAGAAGATATAAAATGTATTGAGGAATTCCCTGGCAGTTCAGTGGTTAAAACTCCGCGCTTCCACTGCAGGGGGCACGGGTTCAATCTCTGGTCAGGGAACTAGGATCCCACATGCTGCGTGGCACTGCCAAAAAAAAAATATTGAAACAGCCAAATATACCAAATGAAGGCTATATATCCTTAAACTGAAATAAATTACATACAAAATTCTGATCCTTGTGGGTAAGTAGAGAGGAAATAATGAATCCATGGAAGTGGCAAGACTTGACTGAGATTTTTAAGCATAATCAGATTTAGATACCACCACGGAAGCTTAACAATATAAAACCATTTTTAAAATAGTATTTTTGCATAAATCACACACACTCTCCCCTCCTCCTTCAGTTTTCTATGGCAATTATAGAGATAGCATTAGCATTAGCTATGATATATTACATGTCAAATGTTATCTTTTAAGAAAAGACCTCTTCCATTATAAAAGACTTGTTCTGGGAGAATATTTTTACTTGATTCTTTCAGATTAAAAAAAAATTAAAAAAACACATTTTACAGGTTTTAAACATCAAAGTAAAGTGAAAATAAACTGGAAAATACTTTTTTTTTTTTTTGGCCACAACATGCGTCTTGCAGGAACTTAGTTCCCTTACCAGGGATCGAACTTGGGCCCCAGCAGTGAAAGCACTGAGCCCTAACCACTGGACTGGTAGAGAATTCCCAGAAAATACTTTAAATCTAAATTCACCAAAGGATTTAGGATCTCCCTCACTGGAGCTTATTAGTGAAAAGTTAACTTGGGGGTTGATTTGGTCCATATAAATCACTCCTATGCTAACATACAAGTTGGACCAAAGACTCTGGTGTTTTCTGCCCCTTTTCTCCTCTGTGATTCTAAGAAGTTTTAAAGTTCTAAATGAAAAAATGGCTTATAAGCTAACATTCCCGGTGAACATCTCTCCAGGCACATGGAAGAAAGAACAAATACATTTTTCTTTGATTTATGGAGGAGCCCATATTTTTTGGAATAATCCTCCGACTCCATGTGATTTTTGTATCATGGTAACTGTTGAGAATTTAACATGTGGCTGGTTATATTAAACCTTTCTACAAAATAAGGAAACAGTAACAATAATAGCTAACAGTGATGGTGTGCTAACCATGCATCCTGTGAGGTAAGGCTGAGGAAGCTAAGGCTTAAGAAGGGCTGGGAAGTGGATTCGAAGGCAAGCAGCCTGGCTTCAGAACTCACTCTCTTAATCGCGATACACTTAGTGCTCTTCCTTGAAAACTCTGCTAAATGGAAGATAAAAAGCTGACTTCAATGTTTTTGTACTATTATGACTCTCAACAGAGCAGGAGAGAAATTTCAATGGTTTTATCATAGTTCTGAGTTTAACGGTGGACTTGAGGGAGCATATGTACCTAGAGACTCCTCCAAAAGGACCACGAACTTATGTGTTAGGAGGCCTTGACAAATAAATACACATCAAGTTTTGGGTTTTCTTTCGGCATATGTAGTCCTGATCTTTCTTCAGTCCCATTTTGGAATGTATCTAGTGCTTATAAATGAAGCCAGCTAGTTCCCACTTAGAAATATAAATTCCCTCTACTTTTTCAAGCCCAGTGATCACCTCAGAGTACATACTCAGGTCTCAAATTCAAGTCTATGATTTTTATACCAGACTTGTGATTTCTATATTCTGAACAACAGTTTTTGGTAAGTCATCATATTTTTATCGCCCAGTTAAATGACTTCCAATTCTCTGGAAAGTTTTATTTTCCTTGGCTACAAACTTTCAATTAAAAAACGTCTAAACTACTTATTTCCCACTTTATTATAGTTCTGAATAGGACAACTACAAGACCTAGTAGACCCAAACCCAGTACAATGCCCAAAGGGAATGGAATGGAAACAGGTAATGATCACAAATTTATTTCCTTTTGATCCTATTAAACTCTAGATGTTTTCATTCAATTTTTATAATTTTGTTGAATGTACATTTCAATTCGTTTTTTACCAGTTTTGTTAGTACAGCCAGTTTTGGAAGTTCATAGAATTGAAACTTGTAATTCATTCCGAAGTCAAAATTTCAACAACAAAAAAATTTCAAATGTCTCTGAAAAGATTAAAATATAGTTTTTCACTTTTCTCAGCCTAGTCCACTAAATCAGCTACAGCTACAATATATAGTCTTGATTCTTAAAAGTATCCTGAATATGAATTATTGAATTAAAATATCAAAATAGCTGTTTCCCTAACTTCAAAACACTTTCTATATACAGGTTTGGTCTTTGAGAATGTTATCACTTCGTTTTCCAGTTTATAATTTCACAAGTACCACTGAAATTTTTTTAATACACCCAGATCTGTTAGCCACCTGGAATATGACATTTAAATGAGAAGAGCAGTTAGCAAATGATCACCCTGGTTACAAGCATATCAGTGTTTCCAAATCATTCAGTTTGATTCAGTGACATTGCCCTAATCCAGTCTGGTCTATGGAATATCATACAGATAAATAGAACAATGATCTGATAAAAGTTCAAACACTCAACTCACTAAGTGGATAAATGGTAGTTATTAAATGCCTTAATATGGGATTGCATTGTTCCCTTGAAATATTTTTTAAATAGTGCAAATCTTGTGCCTGCTTATGTAAAAAAGCATAAAAATTACAGTTTATTTAATATGTATATATAAAATCAACCCATAATTATTCCCTAATGAGAAAGAGATATGAATACTACCTGAAGACATGTATTCAGTCTAAAAACGATTTAGGGGCTTCCCTGATGGTGCAGTGGTTGAGAGTCTGCCTGTCGATGCAGGGGACGCGGGTTCGTGCCCCGGTCTGGGAGGATCCCACATGCCACTGAGCGGCTGGGCCTGTGAGCCATGGCTGCTGGGCCTGCGCGTCCGGAGCCTGTGCTCCACAACGGGAGAGGCCACAACAGTGAGAGGCCCGCATACCGCAAAAAAAAAAACAAAAACGATTTAGATTTTTTTTTAAAGTGTGTGTTTTTGTGCTCCGTTATTACAATGTCTGAAGTTCTAGGAATTCACTTCCCTTCAATTAATGAGGCAGATACTATAAATTCCTGATTCATGAAAATCAAGAAAGCATTCCAATATCTATTTATGCTCAGCTGTTCCTTTTATTTTTCCCAAGTGGGATTAGGCAGTTCATAGTGTCTCAGGTTGACGTAAACAGTCTGGCTCTAAACAGAGCCACCTTCTTAATATTCAAAATAATTCCCTGGAGTTTGCCTAAGTAAAAATAGAAGAAAGCATTTATGTCAACAAAACAAAGAACAAGTAGCTATGATCAAACTTGAAAGCCATTAACCTTCAGTATAATCAAGCATTGATTCTCACAAGGAAAATTCTGTCTTTTGGAGGGAAAACAGAGCATTATTATATTTTAGTTTATTAGCAATATAAATATTTTTTCCAGAGCCACTTGTAATACAAACTGACATCTGTTACCCTCTTGTGTAGATAAAGTCAACTTTGTAATAACTCACCTAACTTAGCTTTGAAAGGATGATCTCTTACCAGGACTTCTTCAGTTTAATTAGTTGGTTGCTGGTAGAAATAGATTGATGGACTACTGAGCCCGCACGCCACAACTACTGAAGCCTGCACGCCTAGAGCCCATGCTCTTCAAAAAGAGAAGTCACCATCACAATGAGAAGCCCACGTACCGCATTGAAGAGTAACCCCCGCTTGCATTGACTAGAGAAAGCCTACGTGCAGCAATGAAGACCCAAGGCAGCCAAAAATAAATTAATTAATTAATTTTAAAAAAATGAGCAGACAGGATATTAGCAAGAATAGAGATCTAAACAGCACCATCAACCAAATAGACTCACACAATTATGGTGAAATGACATGGGGCAAAGGTACAAAGGCAGTTCAACAGAGAAAGGACAGTGTTTTCAACAGATGGTGCTGGAAAAACTGGATATCTGTATGCAAAAACACTAAACAAAACAAAAACCAAGCAAACAAAGAACTCCTCTACCTAAACAAAAAGGAACTCAAGGTGGATCATAGATCTAAATGTAAAATGTGGAGCTTCCCTGGTGGTGCAGTGCTTAAGAATCTACCTGCCAATGCAGCAGACATGGGTTAGAGCCCTGGTCCAGGAAGATCCCACATGCCGCAGAGCAGCTAAGCCTGTGTGCCACAACTACTGAGCCTGCACTCTAGACCATGTGAGCCACAACTACTGAGCCCATGTGCCACAACTACTGAAGCCCACATGCCTAGAGCCCATGCTCCACAACTAGAGAAGCCACCTCAATGAGAAGCCCACACATCACAATGAAGAGTAGCCCCCACTCACAGCAACTAGAGAAAGCACACGTGCAGCAGTGAGGACCCAACACAGCCAAAAATAAATAAATAAATAAATAAAATTTATTTTAAAAAAAGAAAAGAGATAGGTTGATAGGCACAGGTAAACAAAGCTGAGCTCATTGTTTCCCCTTTCCTTGCTCCACTACCATCCCCAATCAAAATGTGTTGCACGTGTTCTATGTTCTGATGTCTGTCTATTGGGATCCCCCTTCAGGGAAGGACTTGCCTGACCTACCTGAAGGGAATGAAGTCAACAGACAGTATCCCACTGTCATATCCTTCACAGTCAGCCTCAGCTGAGAGAGCCTTGATTGGAGATATGGGTGGTACATCTCCTTGTCTACCACAACATATAACAACCAAATGATATTTGCCTCAGGAATGCAAGATTGGTTTAACATTCAAACAAATTAGTGTAATTTACCACATTAAGAGAGCAAAGGAAAACATCATATGATCATCTCAATAAATTAAAAAAAAACCAACCATTAGACAAAATTCAAAAAACATTCATGATGAAAACTCTCAGAAAACTAGGAATAGAAGGAATTTTCCTCATTCTGATAAAGGGCATCTGTGAAAAACCTACAGCTATCATCCTATTTCACAGTGAAAGTTTAAATGTTTTTCTTCTAACATCAAGAACATAAGCAAGGATTCCTACTTTTACCCCTTCCGTTGAAAATAGAAGCAGAGTGTTAAGCCAGTGCAATAAGGCAAGAAAAGAAGTAATGGTATAAAAATTGCAAATTACAGATGCCATTGTGTAGCATATTATGAAAGGAAAATTTAACAGCTCTTGAAGTATTTGCCTGGGGAATAGTGTCTTGAGAAATTGGTGAGAAAAAGAATGTTTTTAAATCTGTTCTCTTCAGGTTGTAGACTTACATGTGTCCACATTACTTAGACTGTGCATAGTTTTGATCTAACTTGTTTATAGAAATGCAGGTATTCACATCAAGTTTCTTTTCTTTCTTCTCTGACCCAGTCCTACTATCTCATTCATACTCACTTCTAACCTCTTTTGAGTCTTAATGAGATACCATTTTTGTGTTAACTGATTCCTTATCCAAGTTTGACATTTCACCCATAATATGTATGTTTGTTATCCATCTCACATATATTTTCCTATAGCTTTTCTTGCTGAAGTTTTCAGCACAGATATTTTACATATAAAAAAATCAGTTGATAAAAGGATGTGTTTAGGATTTATAGGACATATTCTTCATGATTTTAGCTCACTTAATGTTGTGCCTTTGGAAAACTAAAAAAGAAAGATTCTGAGGCCTCAAAACTATGGTCCTTGATTCTTTGGGCCTCTATACAATTCCTTCAATGATTCCATAAGCCCCAGGAATCTTTAAATTATCTTGAGCAAAGTTTCTTGATTTATAACATCATTATAGATATTTACCCTGCTTTATGTTTATTTCACATGTATATATATAAATATTTCTCCACCTTAAAGTTAGAAAGTAGCCTTCAGAGAATGAAGTTTTAGGTAGGTCATTTTCCCAGCAGTCTGCTTTTTCAGGATTTCCAGAGATGTGTTTCAGCTTAATTGATATGTTCTACATGTTATAACCAACTTGAGATCTGACTCCAGAGATGCAACAGCATGCCCTAGACCAAGGGGATTGCACAGAGTACAATCCCACAGACCAAACCCAGCTCACTGCCTTTTTTTCGTAAATAAAGTTCTATAGAAACATGGCTTGCTTTCACAATATAGTGGCAGAATTGAATAGTTGTGACAGAGACAGTATGGCCCACGGAGCTGAAAATATCTACTGTCTAACCTCTGACAGAAAAAATTTGCCCATTCTGTGCTAGACAGTCTCTCCAACTTTCTCCCTATGGAAGGAAGCTGCTGAGTTGTGCAGCTATTCTTTCATTCAACTGACATTTATTGAAAGCCCATTATGTGCCAGGCAAAATGTAGTTTGGAAACCACTTGGCACATGCGGTTTGGCAGATATATTAGATACCTGAACCCCAAACTCCTTTCTCTACTCCCTCTTCTCCTGATGAGGAATCCACACTTCACTGACCCCACACGGAGTGTGCCTGACAACAAGAACCCAGACTCCTCCAAGGTGAGGAATGTGTTTGTCTGAGCTGTGGCTAAATCTTCCAGTCTGCTGGCTCATCACCCCTGACTTTTTAGCCAGGTGCTAAGATTTGGAGACAAGGGTGAGGAAACCAATCATCCATAAATACCACTCCTTTTGGTCACAGGGAATAGTCTCTGTTACATTTGGAAATTGATTCCCAGTTTACTGTGTTTGTTTGCAAAGTTTCTGTTACCATGGTTAAAAATACCCAAATCCTTACTTCATTTTTGACGATAAATTGCTAAAGGGTGAACTATGTAAATCCAGATATTTTTGGAGAAGTCCCATATGGCAGTGGGGGTTCACACTGAAGCTGAAGTCTTGGTTCTTCCAGAGCCAACTCTGCCCTTTAGAAAACAGTGGATTAATCCTGCCTGAGGGAAAAAGAATTCAGGTCACAGCCTGGGCCAGACTGGCTGATTGCCAATCCTGAGGATTCTTTCTCTGCAATAGCTCTTATTGGCTTCTCCTTTGCCCTCCCATTGCCTCTCTGCTACCTTTGGCATTTATTTGCTCTCCTCATTTCAGGGCCACAGAAGTTCGCTGGTCTCCAGGTTCTGTGCTCACACTGCTCCTGGCTGACATGCAAACCACAGCTAGGTGGAACCAAGGCCAGAACTAGAGTTCAGTCTCCTGTCCCCTGTTCAATGCTCTTTCCCTGCGTCCCGCAGCTGCCTTCTGCTGGGTTCTTACCAACATTCTCATCCACTACTGGCTTTTCTCTGTTTCTAAAGGCTGGACAAAGTCCAGTTTAGCAGCTGACATTCTATTGATTTGGGTACTTAACCTATAAGAATCATAACAGTATGATGCTTCCATCTCTGCCTATACAGAAAGTGACAGAAAATGGCTCGTTTCTGCTGATTTCTCCCATAACTGGAAAAGAGTCCAGGGATGTTTACATGTTTGATCTTATTCATAAAGTAATCCTGCAGACTTTTGTATTCTCTCCTACATCTCCATTTCACCAGCCTGTGACTTGTTGGATTTGCATGTGCCTGGTTGGGAAACCATGTCATCCTTGTATTTCTGAGTCCCACACACCAGTGGCATGGATGAATGACACGTGCTTGCCAGCCATGGCTGTTTAGCCCTTACCCAGTGGTGGCACTTCAAACCACCCAAAAGAAAAAGTATAGGACTTGAGGGCTAAAGTCAGAGTCATTGTGAAGAGTAAGAGAAGCGTTAAAAACAAAATTCAACCAAGTAAATTTGAAGATTTAATTGGCTTTATTCAACAATTTATGAATCAGGCAGCTTCCCATTTAGCAACCAGAAGGGCACTCTGAAGGGTTGTACAAAATGGAAGGTTTTTTTAATAGGAAGAAGGGTGGGCAAGGGAACTATTAGAAAAAGAAAAGAAAATACTATTTTTAGGCCAGGACAACTTCTTTTTGGGTAGAAGGGAGTTGCATGGGTTTTAAGTAGATTGCCTCTTCTTCCTCTGGGGGTTGAAGGGTGCGGTGCTGACCAGAATATTCCAGACTGGTTGATTGAGATTACATTTCTGGGGAAGGTCAAAACTGCAGTTAAGTCAGCTTTTAAGTCTAGGCTTGGTATCATGGGCTTTAGCACAAGTGATGCCATTTTGGGCCTGTGGTTTTCTCTTTAACAGAGGGAAGAAGATGACAGGAAAAAGCACTCTTACTATCCCAATTAGTGCTTAAGAGATGGGCTTTGGAGCTGGGCACACATGGGTGTGAATGCCTCCACTTCAGCTGTGAGTCCTTGGGCAAGTGCTTACTCTCCCCTTGCCTTGAGTTTCCTCATCTGTGAGACCCGGGTGGTATCTCCCACCCAGAAGAGTTGTATGGCTCAAATCACGTCATGAATATGTAAGGTGCTTGCGCAGTACTAGATCAAAATACTTTGTTTTCTTAAGGGTGGAAAGATTTGGAGAAAGGCTATGAAGAAGGATCTACTGAAGGCACACATAGCCTACTAAGCTTCTAGAGGATATAATACAGTTTTACCCTCGAAAAATAGTGGTAAATCAGATCTCAGCAAGCCACGTTATCCTGGTGACACAAATGAAAGCACTTTGCCTTCCCTTAAGCCATGGACAGAGTAACCACCCAAATGAGTCATTTCCCACCTCCATTACCACTAAGAGGAGGGCACAGGAAGAAAACTAATGAGCTATTTGTTCTCACAATGCCTGTGGGATGAGCCACAAAATAGTCAGTGACCACAGAAACATTTTATTCCTACCACAAATAAACAGCAGTTGATTCATGGCTACATACATTCACCTTGATTTTATATGTTATCTCTTATTCAAATAGAGGGTGTGGGATTGTAATATTGGGTTTCATAAATTAATGTTAATCATAATTATTATAACTGTTAATAATACTAATAAGTTAATAGTATAATGCTGATTAATGCCCATTATAGTTATAATAATTTCATAAATTAATGTGAAAATACCAGCTTCTGTTGTATACTTAATATATCTGCCTACACGTTAAATGAGACTGGGTGTATAATGTCCCTACAGAGTCCTGGAACTCAAAACAGGGTTGTTGTTGTGCTTGTCCTTGTTAATATACTAACTAGCATATTAATTCAATATTTTTTCTTATTTTTTAATTGGTGAATTATAGTCAGGTCCTCAGAGTATGGATTCTCTTTTTAGGATGAGCCATTATATCTAAGATAATATTTACTTTTGAGATTCTAAAAAACGTCTGTTCCTATTATTTCTTAATGAAGACTGCCGGCCACATCAGGGAAGATTATTTTATAATGTAAAAGAATAATAATTTTTAAAAAGCAGGACAAAAGCTAAATTGGTTCCCTCTACCCTTAGGATTGCTACCCAAAACCCTGGCACCAGATTGTGCTTGAGGGACTTAGGAGATAAAATAGCGTGCAAAGTAATTTTCAGGTCAGTTTCTTCCAAACAGCAATTTAGAATTCTAGGCGTGCCCAGGCCTAATTTACAAATCTCAAAAGCACAGATCCAGTCTGTGGCCTAACCAGCCTTCTAGCCAAGAACTCTCAAAAAATATTTTTAAAGTCAATTCATTAAGTACAAACCCAAACACACTGGAATTTTAAGGGTTTTCATTGGGGTAGAGGAGTTGGAGAAAAGTTTTTTAAAAACCACAAAATTTGCCCATGAATATTGGCAAAAAAAAAAAAATAGCCAATCACTGTAGATGAACTACTCCTAGCAAAACAATATCACCCAGGCAGGCAGTGCGGGGTGGGCATCATAGAAAATTAAGGCAAAACCACGTTCTGCAATCAAACACTAACTCTGCAGAGAAAAAATCACAACTAATGAATGCAGTAGGGCTTTAAGTTTTTTTTCCTATACACAGATGGGAGAAGCCAATCAAACTGTCTGAGCACAAAAAGTTTCTGTGAAGACTACTTACCACATTTTTGCTATCTATTTATTCTGTCATCCTCTCTGCTCACAGGGGTCAAGCAAGCACCACTGCCATCCGGTGCTGATAGAAATGTGTCAGTGGACTCTTCTTACTCCACAAAAAAACCAGGTAAGGAATAAAATGCTGACTCCCTCACTCAGCTCTGCTCCGAAACTTGTAACTGCAAGTTACATGTGCTGCGGCAAAAAAAAGTAGCATCCTCACCGTCCCCAAAGCATCAGAACCATGCTAACAGTACAGGGGTATTGCTAGATAAACATACCAAAATATTATCTACAGGAAAATAAAAAGCACTTTATGCACAAATTGAATATTAATAAGAACCTCTAACGAGGCACTGATTTAATAATTACTTTATATAATGTTCTGAGGGGCCACAGTGGACAAATGCTGAAGCGTAATGGTGGATTCTAGATTTCGTCATATACAAGTTTTGTTCTTATGTAATTTATTATAATATCCTTTTGCCTGAAATGATTTATGTTTCTAATTTGAGGCTGTGCTCTATATAATAGGCCAAAATTATGAAGCGATAATATCTTTGCATTGAATAAGAACTCTGTGCTTTTCAAAGGATGCTGTGAAACGTACTCTGATGTATTAATGTCTGGGTTAGAGATCTGTATTGTATCCTCACCACTCACTCTCCCTCCCGCCCTGCAGTTCATGCACGCACGTGCACAATTCCTAATATCCCAGGAAGTACTTAAAGCCACAGGGTATTTTCCTGGATTGTCAATTTTACTTGAAGATTTTTAAACCAACATATTCTGCAAAGAAAGAGATGAATTTTTAAGCTATAATGCAAGACTTAAAAGAAAATTTGGGTTAAGGTGGTCTGCTCCAGGTACCTCTAGCCTTGTCCACCTTTGTGCAGATTATAAAAAGGTGTCTCTTCCCTTTGCCCTTCGGGCAAACCATTTAGAAAAACGTTCCTTTCCTCTGGGCTGGCAGCCTTGCACCAGGGCTCATGGGTGTGTGAGAGAGCAGAGTGGATGTGAAACTTTGCCTCCCACTTACAGCTCCCTGGCCAGGTGCCCTTGTGTGGTGACTCTGCTCTCCATGGCCACAGGCTTATTGCTTCTGCCATCAGGGCTATTTTGTTGTAATCGTTTGAGAAGTTCTGAAAGTGTCTGTTTAATTATAATTACATAATAGAGTTGGAGGATGGAGTGGAACACCTACTAAAGGAGAAATTATATGCTTTACCAACTCAAAGCTAAAATGGTGTAGGAATTGTAGCCTGCAAATCAAAGGCAATTGGAGATAATGAGACACAGAAATGCTACTGTTGAGTCTATATAGGAAACTAAAGATGATAAATTCTATACATCTATTTTCTACTTTTCCTTTCAAAGGGCAGATGTACTGATATATTTTCATCTATAATTAGAGAATATTTTCCCCATACCCAAGTGTGCTTCATTATCCCTGGGTACGTTACAAGCACTAATTTAGAAGAATATCAGAAAGTATTGCAGGCACTTTTCTGTAGAATCTATTCTCTCTCATCTAACTGCTACTTGTCAAACATTATATTTTTTTAAAACCCATGATTTTTATAGAGTGAATCCTTATGACCACTTTATCTGTAATATAATCTCCTAGCCACAATCCCAGGCACTCGTCGCCCACCCTTGCCACCTAGACCCATGCCCCCACGACGAAAGCCTTTACCACCAAATAATGTCACCGGAAAGCCAGGAAGCGCAGGTACGTCAATCACATACCTTCCTTCTCCCTCCTTGATTTCACTGGCCAAACGCAAGCCTTTCTTGGTGTGATAGCTCAAGTAATGGATGAGCCCTTGGTGTGTGTGACATGTGCCTGTTTTGGCCCCAAAGACCAGACTGTAAATTATAGTTTTGAGGACTCATATCCTGATTCTGGGTGGGTGGGGTGAAAGGAACCACCCATGTCCATCTAGGCCAGTTTGCTTCTTAGATGCTGTGTGCTTGGTGCTGAGACAGAAGCTATCACAGGTTCTTCAAAAAGTGGATTATTTTGGATGAGATGTTTTGTGCTGCCAACCCACCAGGTGTAATGGAAAATGTCATCCACTCATCATCCTGTCTCTTGAGATAGAATCTTTTACATCTCATTGATAGCTCCCCTGTCCACCAGCCTTCATGCTGGCCCCAGTATTACGGTGCAAGGGGAAGGATTGGGAACTGGAATACTCAGGGTGACTGAGCAGGTCTAGCCTGTGCAACAAGGCGGGAATATATTTTAGAAGTCAAGCTGCCTCTCAGCTTGCTCACATGCCTCTATCCTAGGGCATGTGTTGTCTTCTTCCCATAGAATGACCACTCCGAGTCACCTGGGATACTTGTACTTCATCCTTGTCTTGAAGAAGCCTTCTCTAGCTCCCCAAAGTAGACTAGCATTGCTTCTCTGTTCTACTTTTCCTTGAAACATACCTCTGTTAGAGCAAACCACTGTTTTATACCTATTTGTTTGTGTACTTGTCTTCCCCTACTATATAATGAGCTCTTTGATGACAGATGACATTTTCTCTGAATTCCCAGAACCAAATCCAGTGCTCATTGAGTGAATCCAGTAATCATTGAGTGAATATGTGAGTGAAATTAAGAATCAGTGAACCTAGTTCAGAGCAAAGATTCATCTCACTTTTCTTAAAGTTTCTTCCAGCGGACCTGCCAGCAGATCAGATCATGTTCCCATTCTTCCTCCCACTTCCTTCATCTCTACTTCCTAAATATTCTGTAGTCATAATCAGGATAACAGTGTTAAGGACAGCTGTGAAAGATGAAACTGATAAGGATTTCTGAGAAAGAGAATGGCTGTCACTCTTTTCACAGGATGAAGGAGGGTGTGGTGATGGAGAAGCTTTCATGATGTAGCAAGGGGACAGTGGCCTCTAGATTGTTTTTCCCATCAGCTGAAAGAGGAATCAGCCTCTCATCCATGCTGATGGTGCCTTCCTGGGTCCAGGCCTAGGGACATGGCCCCAGTGAGGAGACCAGGTTTTCCTCATTAATTGTAACCTGGGGCAGCTGTGACTTGAGCTTCTGTAGCTTTTAGTTCAGACTGAAAGTGATGCCTCAGTTTCCCCCATGGAAGAGTCAGGGGAACCACCCACCACAGAGCTCCCCTACAAGGCTGGCTGTGTGTCTTCAGTTGCACCTCCACGGCCTTGGCTCCTGCCATATGAAACCTTGCTCACTGCCATCAATAAGTGTAGCTTTGGTATAACTCACCCAGCCTGTGGGATGGTATAAACACATCCCACTTCTGAGATTAACTCTGGTGCCCTCCCTGCCCCGTGCTTTCCACCTCTAACTCAAAAGAAATGACTACACTGAAGAGCCAAACACAAATGAGGTCAGTTATACAGATTTGGCCTGATGACCATCACAGAAAGTGCATACGGAATTCAGGAAATCAACTCAATGTTCTGGGAGTCCTCTGAACACAAGCCTTCTTGCACATGTGCCTCTGAGAACAGTCTTAGGCTACTACGAGGCATCTCCACCTGTCCCCTATCTCCAGATCTACCGAGGCCTCTCAGTCCCGCTCTCCTTGCCAGGATGAGTGCTGCTCTGCACCCTCTAAAAAGCTCCTTTGGGCTGCAGTGCAGTGTCTCATGGTTTTCACTCACCCTCTCATTGGGGCCTACTCCCACCAGGACCAGGAGCATAAGTCTGCAGGGGCTGGACCAGCAGCCCATCTGAATGGCTCATCCGTGATTCTGTGCTGGGCCACAGTCCTTGGGTCAGTCTTGTACCCCTTGACTCTCTATTGTCTGAGAATGATTCCTTTTCCCAGGAGGACTATAAAACCTAACCTAGCCTCCACTCTATTCTACCCATACTTGCCTAGACCTTGGGATGCATCCTGTTTGGGAGACCTATAGGTGTTTTTAGAGTGGAGGAGACATTGTTGAATATAGCATCTCAGAGTGACACTGTTCTAGCTACAGGCCAGAGTCACAGACATTACCTTAGAAACTTCTTCTTCTTCCCCCCCAGCCATCTCCCATGCCTGCCAGTTAATCTGCAGTGAGGCCACTCCATCCCCTTGACATTTCTCATGTAAAACCCCTTCCATCCAGTCTCACTGCTTCTTACATTGTTCACCTTCTCTGCCCTTGCCTACGCAACTGCTTTAGTCTCTTGATTTCTCTCTCTGCCACCAGCCTTGCAACTTAACTGTTCACCCTCTCCTCATCTGATCATGTTACTTCCCTAGTGAAAATCTTTTAATGGGTCCTTATCACCTAAAAATAATATCTAAATCCATGGTATGCAAGGCCCTTCATGAACTGCCTTCCCGCCCCCTCCGTACTCTGCTCTCACTGCTCCTGGCACTCTTGGCTCTCACCCCTTCAAATTCAACACGCCACGTGATTTCATGCTTCCCTGACCTGGTTCTTCCTGCAGCCTCTGACTAGAATACAGCTCTCAGGCTTACCTACTGATCACTCCTCCTCTTTATTGGTACATCCTCTGGGAAGGCATTCCTGCCCTCCTCCCACCCAACACTCATCATCTTTCCCTGTAGACTTGTCCTCTCTGAGACCTTATCCCATGCTTTCACAATATCTATAATGCTTCAGTATAATTTGGCTCACACATCTCTCCCGATCAAGGACACCAGGTCTTATTTTCCCTCTAATCCTGGCATATAGTGCCAAGCCACATGGTAAGCGCTAATAACTATTTATTGAGTAAATAAATGGGGAACTCAGCAGGGCTCTCTATAAAGCCTGAATCCTTTGGCTCTATATTACAGGAATCATTTCATCAGGCCGAGTAACTTCCCCACCCTTGAGGGCAACACTCAGACCTACTGAAGCCCCCTTGGAGAGAACAGAGACAGATAAAAAGCAACCAACAGCTCCTGCCTCAGGAGAAGATCTTGGTTAGTATATCAGTCACTGCCCACTGGATGCTTAGCTATGAAGTACTAAAGGATTTCAAACTAGGGAGAAAAGAGTCCCAGTTCTGGATCATCTATTTTACTCAATTTTATGATTGCTATGAATTTTTTAATTTAAAAATTATACTTATTTCTAATGTTTTATTATAGAATGTGCTCCTTCCCTTTGCAGACATAGAATGAAGTTCCCAAGATCTTTAGGAAAGTCTTCCTAAAAAGATCTAGATTACCCAGTGCTTCTTACTAAATCGCATGTCATTACTAATTACGCATATCTTAATTTATTAATGAGTATTAGCTACTTGGTTGTAATCTTTGAATCATTATTTATTACACTGAAGGGCACCAGCAGGACACAATTAAAGGCCTTTTAGTGTGGATAATATGTATAGTAATACTAATAATAATTGAAATCAAATTGCAAGGAATTGACTAGGAGGCATATGTATTAAATATTTATAGTTTTATTACTTTTTCATTGTATCTTCCATTCTCAGGTAATATGACTGACTTTAGCTCAAGTCCAACAAGAGAAACTGATCCTCTTGGGAAGCCCAGATTCAAAGGTATGTATGACTGGCTCCAAATCTCCATTTTAACAAAGCTATCTTTGGTGGGTGTATCAGTCAGCTGTTGCTGTGTAATAAACAACCACAAAATCTTAGTAGCATACTCTAAAAAGGATTTATTTCTCATGTGTCTACAAATTGCCTGGAGGTCAGCTGATCTACCATGTGTTTGGCTGGGTGGTTCTACTTCTAGCAACAGGTACAGCTGGGCCTCTTATAGGTTGGGCTCAGGTCTGCTCCACATCTGTTTATTTTGGTGCCCAGGATGAAGGACTAACAGTGACCCAAGAGAAGCTATTCTCATGACAGTACAAAGTGAAGAGAGGGGGAGTCCAAAAACGTGACCACATTTCAAGCTCCTTCTTGTGTTATACCTGCCAATATTCAATGGCTAAAGAAAGTCACATAGCCAAGCTCATAACAAAGATTGGGGAAGTATACTCCTTCCATGGATATAGAGAATGTTTTTGAAATATTTATTTATTTGTTTGGCTGCACCGGGTCTTAGTTGCAGCACGTTGAATCTTCGTTGCCGCTTGCGGGATCTTCATTGCAGCATGCAGGATCTTTTTAGTTGCAGCATGTAATCTCTTAGTTGCAGCATGTGGGATCTAGTTCCCTGACCAAGGATCAAACCCAGGCCCCCTGCATGGGGAGTGCGGAGTTTGTTAGAGAATGTTAGAGAATGTTTTTGAACAGTAATCTAATCTACCACAGTAAAAGAGAGATTATATGATGTAGAACCCAGTATTTCCTTTTGTGATATGTTTTTCTGAAGTATAAAATTTGATAAATTTCAACATATGTATATACCCATGAAATATCATCACAATCAAGGTAATGAATACATGCACCACCTCCAAAAGTTTCATCATGTACCTTTATAATCCCTCCTCCTCTCTCCTCCCACCCAACCTCTAGTCCCTAGGTAACTATATTATAGATTAGTATGCATTTTCGGAAATTTTACATAAATGAAAAAAATACAGTATGAACTTTTTGTGTGTGATTTCTTTCACTCAACATAATTATTTGGAGATTCATCCATGTTGCTAAATGTATCAGTAGTTTATTCCTTTTTATTACTGACTAGTATTCTATTATATGGATATATACTAATTTATTAAAACTGTTCACGACATTTGGGTTGTTCTAATAAAGCTGCTATGACCATTCATGTACAAGTCTTTGTGTAGACATATGCTTTCATTCCTTTTGGACAAATTCCAACAAGGAGAATGGCTAGATTGTATATAAATGGACATTTAACATTTTAAGGAACTGCCAAACTGTTTTCCACAGCAGTTGTACTGTTTTACCTTTGTGCCAACAGTATATGAGAGTTCCAGCTCCTCCACATCTTTGCCAACACTTGCTATGGTCAGTCTTTTTAATTTCAGCCATTTTAGTAAAGGTGTAGTAGTATCTGATTGTGATTTTATTTTGCATATCCCTAATGACTAAGGATGCTGAACATCCTTTCATGTCCTTATTTGCCATCTGTATATCTTTTTTGATGTGTCTGTTCAATTTTTTTTGTCTATTTTTTATGGAGTTGCTTATTTTTTTATTATTGAGTTTTAAGAGTGTTCATATTTTCTGGATTGAAGACCTTTTTCAGATACACACTTTGCAGTGTGTATTTTCTCCCAGTGTTTGGCTTCTCTTTTTTAATTTTAATGAAGCTCAGTTTATCAATTTGGTTTTTTATATATAGATTGTATCTTTTATGTTATATTTAAGAAGTCTTTGACTAATCAAAGGTCACAAAGACCTCCTCTGTTTCCTTCTAGAAGTCTTCTACTTTTACATTTAGGTCTATGATCTGTATTGAGTCAAATTTTCTATATGACCCAAAGTATGAATGCATTTATTTTCTCACTTATGGATATCCAAATCGTTCCAGCATTATTTTTTGAAAAAACTGTTGTTTCTCCACTGAATTTAATTTGCACCTTTGTCAAAAATCAATTGTCCATATATATGTGGAACTATTTTGGGGTTTTCTAGTCTGTTCCAGTGATCTATTTATCTACCTTTCCATCAGTACCACAGTGTCTTGATCACTGGTTTTATAATAAGCACTGTGATCAGGTTATGTTAGTCTTCCAACATTGTTCTTATTTTTTAAAAGTTGTTTTGGTGACTCTAGGTCCTTTTATATTTCCATCTGAATTTTAGAATGAGTTTCTCAATGTCTAAAAAAAATAGCCTGTTTATATTTTTATTAGAATTGCATTGAATCTGTAGGTCAACTGGGAAACATTGACAGCTGTACAGTATTAAGCCTTATTACCTATGAACATGGTATATCTCACCATTTATTTAGGTGTTCTTCATTTCTCTCACCAATGTTTTGTAGTTTTCCATGTAAAGAAAACCATAAAAGTAGCATTTTTTATTTCAGTTTCTAATTGTTCATTGCTAGTATATAGGAAAACAATTGTTTTTCGTTCAATGAGCTTGTATTCTGCAACCTTGCAAACCTCTGTAGTCTTTTTGTAGATACACTGGATTTTCTACCTACAGAATCACATCATCTGAGGGGCAAGTTTTACTTCCTCCTTTCCAACTTAAGTATCTTTTTTTCTTGCCTTTCTGTACTGGCTAGAACCTCTAGTGAAATACTGAATAGAAATAGTGAGGATAGGTATCTTTTTCTTGTTCCTTATATTATGGGAAAAGCATTCAGCCTTTCACCATTAAGTATGGTGCTTCCTGTAGGTTTTTCATAGATGCCCTTCACTGTGTTGAAAAAGTTTTCTTCTATTCCTGCTTTGGTGAGAGTCATTATCAGAAATGAATGCTAGATTATGTCTAATAATTTTTCTGACTTTATTGAGATGTTTATGTGGTTTTCCTTTTTTAGTGTGTTAATGTGATAAAGTAATTGTTCTTGAGTTGTAGGCTACCTTTGCATTCCAGTGGCAAATTCCACTTGGTTATAGTGCATTCTCATTTTAATATATTGTTGGATTTAATTTGCTAAAATTTTGTTTAGAATTATGTTCAGTGAGGGACATTGGTCTGTAGTTTTCCTGTAATGTCTAAGTCAAGTTTTAGTATCAAAATGATGCTGAATTTTTCTTCAATTTTCTGAAAGAGTTTAGAACTGGTGTTGCTTCTTCCCTAAATATTTGTTAGTATTTACCAGTAAAGCCATCTGAGCCTGATATTCTCCTTGTGAGAAGGGTTTTACATGTTACTCACTTTCTTTAATAGGTATAGGACTATTTAGAATATTTTTTTCCATAGTGAACTTTGGTAATTTTTGTCTTTCAAGTTATTGGTCCATATCCTCTAAATTGTCAAGTTTATTAGCATAATGTTATTCATATTCTCTTCTTACTTTGATATCTGTATAATTTGTAGTGATGTCACCTCTCTCATTCCTTTTATTGACAATGTGTGTCTTTTTTTTCTCTTTTGCCTAACCAGTCAGGCTGTAGGTTTATCAATTCTTTTGATCTTCTGAAAAGATCAACTTTTTTTCATTGATTTTGTCTGTTATTTTTCTGTTTTCTATTTCATTTATTTTTTACTCTGATCTTTATTGTTTCCTTTTTCTGCTTAATCTGAGTTTCATTTGCTCTTCCATTCTAATTTCTTAAGGTAGAAGATGAGCTCATTGATTTTGAGCCCTCTCTTCTTTTCAGATATGGAATTTAGTGCTACAAAATTTCCCCTAGATATTATTTAAGCAGCATCCAAAAATTTTTGATATGTTGTGTTTCCATTTGTACTCTGTTCAAAATACTTTTTAATTTCCCTTTTGGTTTCTTCTTTGACTTATTAGAAGTATGTTATTTAATTTCCAAATATTTCAAGATTTTCTAGAAATCGTTTTGTTACTGATTTCTAATTTAACTCCATTGTTGTCAGTTACTCTGTATTACTTGAACCCTTTTACATTTATTGAGACATTTTTTAAGGCCCAGAATATAGTCTATCTTGGTATATGTTCTCTGTGTACTTGAAAAGAATGTGTATTCTGCTGTTCTTAAGTGAAATGTTGTATTGGTTTGCTAGGGCTGCCATAACAAAATACTACAGACTTGGTGGCTTAAACAACAGAAATTTATTTTCTCACAGTTCTGGAGACAGAAGTCTGAGATCAAGGTATCTTTGGTTTCTCACATTGGAAATTAGGGCATCACCATAGGAGTTTTAGGGAAACACAATTCAGTCCATAACAAGTGTTCTATAAAAATGTCAATTAGGTCAGTTTACTTGGTTGTATTGTGCAATTCTTTTATATCCTTAGCGATTTTCTGTCTACTGTTCTGTCAATTAATGAGAGAAGGGTACTGAAATCTCTAGCTCTAATTGTGGATTTATTTCTATTTAACAGTTCTACCATTTTTTGCTACATGTATATTAAAGGTCTGTATTTAGATATAGACCTAAATTACTTAGGATTGTAATAAACTCCTGAGGAATTGGTCCTTTATTATTATGAAGTGACCTTTTTTTGTTTATGGTAATTTTCTTTGCTCTAAAATCTAATTTGTTGATATTTATATATCCACTCAAGCTTTCTTTTGATAAGTGTTATCATGGTATCTCTTCTTTTCATCCTTTTACTCTTAACCTGTTAGTCTGTTTGTTTAAAATGTTGTCCCTATAGGTATCATATAGTTGGATCTTGCTTTTTCACCCAGTCTGACAATCTCTGCATTTTATTTTGGGTGTTTAGAACCTTACATTTAACATGACGAATGATACGGTTAGGTTTAAGTCTATCATCATCTTGCTATTTATGTTTTATTTGTCCCGTCTATTCTTTGTTCCCTCATTCCTTTTTCTTTAGCCTTCTTTTGGACTGAGTATTTTTATGATTCCATTTTATCTTTTTTTGTTGTCCTACTCCTATAACTTTTTTGTTTTGTTATTTTAGTGATTGCTTTGAGGTTTATAGAATGTGTCTCTAACTTACCACAGTATCTTCCAGTGATATCCTACAACTTCACAAATAGTGTAAGAACTTTACGTTAGTATAGCAGCTTTTCTCTCCTCCTGGCCTTTGGGCTATTGTCGTTATAGTTTACTTTCACATGTTATATACATCACATTAAATTGTTAATATTTTTGTTTAAACAACAAATTGTCTTTCATAGAGAATTTAATAAGAAAAATACTGTGTATATTTACCTATGTAGTTACTGTTTCAAGTGCTATATATCCATCCAGCATCATTTTCCTTCCACCTGAAGGACTTTCTTGAATCTTTCTTGTAGAGTGGGTCTGCTGGTCATGAATTCTTTCAGATTTTGTATGTCTAAAAAGTATCTTTTTTTTTTTTTTTGTCCTTTTGCTTTTGTTTTTTTTAAAGATATTTTCACCAGTTATAGCATTCTAGATGATAAGGTTTTTTGTTTTGCTTTTTGGTTTTTAGTAGAGAAATACATTGCTCTACTGCCTTCTCACTTGCATTCTTTCCGATGAGAAATCTGCCATAATCCTTCTTTGTTGTTCTATGTATAACATGTCTTTTCTTGGCTGCCTCCTTTAAAGATCTCTAGAAATTACTTTGGGTCTTTTTTATAGCTCCCATTTCTTAACTCTCGACCATGTGGATTAGTGATGATAACTGTTTTACTGTCCTTGTCTGATGATTGTTACAGCTATCCAAGTTTCAGGTTGGCTTCAAATGATTTATTTTTCTCCTCATTATGGGTAATATCTTCCTGTTTATTTTATCCAGTTGGGAATATTTTTATTCCTAAAATATTCTTGTATTTTATTCTGGGATGCAGTTTAAATAACTTGAAACCACTTGATCCTTTTGAGTCAGGCTTTTAAGATTTATTAGGTGGGACCAGAACTGTGTTTAGTGTAAAGTTAATCATTCCCCAGTACTGAGACAAGACCCTTTTGAGCACTGTTTCCAACGCTCCATAAATTATGCAGTTTAAACCACACTCAGGGGGACCAAATTACTTTTGGATATTAGCATAAACTAAACATATTTAGAAAAGTAAATCAACAATAACATCCATATCATGTATCCCAAAGATAGGGTTCTGGATTTTCACAAATTCAAACCATCCACATCATTGCTTTCATCCATCTGCTTATAGTATGAGATCAAATGTCCTCAAACAGATAATTTTATTTATGAGTTCACCTCCACCTTTTTTCCAAGCTCAAAAAAAAAAAATAATGCTCAATGTCCTCTCTGTCTTAGGTCCTCACGTGAGGTATATCCAAAAGCCTGACAACAGGCCCTGCTCCATCACTGACTCTGTCAAGCGATTCCCCAAAGAAGAGGCCACAGAAGGGAATGCCACCAGCCCACCGCAGAACCCACCTACCAACCTCACTGTTGTCACTGTGGAAGGGTGTCCCTCCTTTGTCATCTTGGACTGGGATAAGCCACTCAATGACACTGTCACTGGTAAGATCATGACACATGGACTGTCACTACGGTGGGAAGCATTGATAGTGCGACGCATTGGGAATGTGGTACCTTGATTCAAACTGTGGCCTGCGAGGCATATCTTAGGAACAGCAAGTCCCCGCAGAGTTCTGCTGTCCCTGTGGTACATGATTGTTAAAAGTGTCATAAGATGCGAAAAGGTCATCTTTGTCCTGGTTATGGTCTCCCTGTTAATTTAGCAGATCTCTTTAAGTTGCATACCTTCCTTCTCCTCTCAGAACTGTTTTTCACAACGTGAAGGTATATCTAGTCTTTTCATTACCTGAAAATCACAGATCACATATGGGAAGTTGCCACTGCTGATAAGATTTAAACCTGTTTTCCTTTCACCATCCCAATTTCTAGATTGACCTAGAATTTTCAAGCAGGCTAAAAGTTATTTCAATCATTTTAGGAAAATTGTTTTAATTTGGTCAATTTTCTGCTTATCTCAGGAAATTTTGATTCTGCTGTCACTCATCCAATTTCTCTAAAAATGACTATGAAAAATGAGAAACCCTGAGTCATTCTTTGAATTTGTTATATGGGATTTAAATTCTCTGTAGTGAACAGGATAGTCAAGGTAGAGGGGAGGGGTGGAAAGACTAATAACCCAAATCAGCTAGAGGATGTAGCAAACAGCGTGAGGACACAAGGTTCCTGCTGCCCATGTCCCCGCCACCGTGTGCCTGGGGTGGGTAGGCAGAATAGAGTTGCCCACTAAGAGGCTGTCAGGAAAAGTAGAGAGCGGTACACAGGGCAAGGTGAGGAGTGGGGAGATTCAGGATCTGCCAAAAAAGTTTTCTATGAATAAAGGAGAAAACAGTAGCTATTTCTCCTCAGACAAAACCGTTTGGTCTGGGCAACTTCCAGTGTAAGCAGCTTATCTTTGCTTAGCTGGCTTTTAAAATTTTTAACCATATTTTGTGAATTTCCTTTCTTATGCAAAGCTTGCCTTTGTTTTGAGAAAGAACCAGCCACTGCCCATGGTTCCTGGGGATTTGACTAGTCTTGCTTCTTTACTTGGAACTACACCAGTAGGTATTATCATCCCAATATCTAAAAATCAATCTCTAAGTATTGATTATCTACATGTATTAAAAAGTTGAAAACTCTCAATCCATATGCAGTGCTAATAAAGAGTTCCTGTGATAGTCTGAGGCTTCATTCTCACAAGACCAAATGAACTATAAAATTTCACTTGCCTTAAAAATATAGGACATCAAGTTGGAATTGGTTAATCTGTTTAATAATCTAATATATATTCACTTGGGAATGTCAATAGTATCTGATTTAGCTATTTAAAGTAGGATTTTCCTTTCATCATGTAACTTTTTTAAATTATATAAACCTGTAATTTCAAAGAATCATGAATAGGATATACTTTATCTAACCAACTAGTTTTATAACATTATTATTATTATTAAATGTTAACGGGCTGCTTGAGATCTTTCACTAGATACTGGACTTATGATAACCATTTTCATGGATAAGGACCACATCTATAACTATTATATTTTATAAATAGAAATAAGTCCATATTTAACCATTACTCACTTAGTCTATATTTCAATGTTGGACCATATGCCCTAATGATCTGTTCTATTTTTTTCCATTTTTGTTTATTTTTCGTGTTCCATTAAATACCACTTGATTTCAAATGTAATCTTTTATAAACCAGCAGCTCAGATAATACAGAGATTAATTCTCATGTCACTGGAAATGGTTTTTCAAGAAAGAATTAAGAAAGATAACAAAAAGAGAGTGAAACATATTCTTCATTCCCCAGGTTGACTTCTGTCAGTAATCTTTCTTTTAATTGATAGGCATGTATTCACCTCTAGTAAATGCATCCAAATTCAGATGCTTCTCCATATCCCTTCTACACTAAAGTAGAAATAGGTACACCATAGAGATTGGCCACAGCCTGGGTCCTTGGACAACTCAAATTACTTATAAGGTGTCATTTTCTGATACATCAAGAGCATGCTGACATAGATTTAAATCCCAGACCAACTGTGTTCTAGATAATGCAACTTGGATCTATAATTAGCCTCTTTGAACTTCAGGGTTTTTTAACTTATAATAATAATAATTCTTATTGCTATCAATTTATTGTGAGTATAAGACTTAACAGAGAGTAGTATTACCATTTGTTATTTTCATGCTGTATTGACCAGATAGTGATGTTCCCAATATTTATAATAATTATGTTCTAAGTGAATTATCTCATAATAGGGCAATAAAACCCTCTGAGGGGGAAAAAACAGACCAATTATTGTGTCAGTTCTCTGTAGATTTTCTTATATCTTTACTGTTAATGAAATTATTTTTTAAATCCCCTATTTAAAATAAGAAATATTGACACATACTTTTTTGTTGGTGGTGGTAGATTTTTATAATGTTCGTGGATTTATGAAAAGCTATTATCACTTTGAAGCATTAAAAAGGAAAGACATATACATTCTAAGACAAGAATTCTGAGAAAAATTCTAAATATCTTTTTAATCATGAAGGTAACTTCTAGATCCATTTTGAAAACTACAGTCTTTCAGGACAAAAATAGTATTAAATTAACATTTAAAACTTGAGTCAAAAGAAAATTAGAAAAGATGTGCTATAAGTGTTGAAGTATATACTAAAGGGCTAAGGTGATATTACAAAGAATATCACACAGTCGATGAGGAATGACCCAAACAAAGATGTTTTTTGAAGGTGATTGCTTTCATGGATAACCAGCTGGAGTGTCATATAAATTGCTCTTTTGGTGACTAAGCAGCACTTGAATCTTTCCAATTGGAATCTCTCAAATTTTTGTGATCCTAGTTTCAAAACACAACTCGGGGATAATAAGGAATAATAAAAGATATAATAATAATAGGTACCACCTGTTGAGCAAAATACATGCAAAATACTATTAAGCACTTTCCATATGTTCCTTCTTTAATCCCTACAAGCAACACTATGAAGAGACACTATGGACATTTTACAGATGGTAAAACTGAGACTGAGATCCAGGCAAGTGGCTTGGTCTGTCTCTTCCCATTAAGTCATGCAGTTTCCATTTTTTAAAAATCAATTTTACTTCCTTTCTAATTACTCTGATCTTTTTCTAGTAAATGTCCCTTCACAGCTGAGGAAAAGATATAAAACGAACATAATTGAATTTGGGCTCCTACCTCTCCCTCTCTTTCCACACTCCTTTAGAATAGAAAGCCAACTGAGACATAGGTTGGGAGCAGAGAGTCTGAGGAAGGAGTCTTAAATATGGGCCATTAGTCCTTTAATAGCTGCACTAATGTGTCCAGATACAATGACCATTGCCTTCCAGTTTAATTTCAAATTTTCAAAAGGATGGTCATAGGAAATAACTCAGAAAAAGTGATCCTCCTTTTTGGCTTTTTAAAATTCACCAGTAAAGATCCTTCCCAAATTAAAATTGGTGATTATAAGTCTCCATGAGTTACTCTATAATTTCAGTTTTATTTCCGATATCCATCTCCTACCTTTGGTCTCAGTGCTAACAACAGACATCCCCAGTAACTTGCCAGCTCCTTTGCAACCTTCCCACCTTCCCTGATGCCCACCACTTGTGTATTTCTTCATACTGATGAAGCTGTTTTTGAGTAGGGTTTTGTTGGTTGGTTGGTTGTTTTTTGTTTGATTTTTTTAACCCTCTGTGTGATCTTGTCACATGCATTAAACTGAACCCCAACTGAGAGCAGGGAAAGTAAATTAGTAAATTATATTCTCTTAGTCTGAAAGTCTCTTTCGTTTGATTAGCCCTACAAATTCGTAGAAACCTGCCCTTAAGTTAAATTTATGCAGATCTCTATGCAGACTTTGAGGGCATAATATTTTTAATTCAAGGATAATTATCAAGGGGGTATATGTTAGCAGTATGTACAAAATTTATGTAACTTACTTAAGCAGTAGGTATCAAAATCCCATAATTCTGTAGTTCAAAATAATGAACTATAGAAAAGTATAGTTCATTGTTCATTATTTGATTAACTGTTATTGCTTCTGTGGTTTTCAACTCAGTTTTTTGGAGCAGTACCATGTAGTCAGTGACATTTTTCCCAGCTATATTGTGAAGCCCCATGAGCAGGAAATGTGCTTCTACTGAAACACTGCTCCTCATACAATGTTTTTTACAAAGCCACACTGGGCTTTCCAGCAATGGCAGACGATCCGACTTACCTAACAAAATCATAGGTTATCCATAACCAATGCTACCATAGGAGCATCAACAGTCTTCACAGTTACCAGACCTTTGCTGCTCTGGTAAAGAGAAAACAGAAATGGTCAATGAGCAACTTCCCAAATGCTTTGGGACCTTCATCATCCTCTGACAGTCCCCATTTGGAAGTTGCTAATGTGTATGATCAATACGTCTCTAGACCTGCAATCTTGTTGCTCACTTTTATGAGAGTTGAATCTGTTATGCAGTTAGCTTCGAGAACATTCAGTTCACCAGAGCATAAAGACAAGTATCTGTTGGCTTTTTTTGCTTTTCAGAATATGAAGTTATATCCAGAGAAAATGGGTCATTCAGTGGGAAGAACAAGTCCATTCAAACTACAAATCAAACCTTCTCCACAGTAGAAAATCTAAAACCAGACACAAGGTGAGCCACCAGTGCTATTACAGGTGAATTCTGAGAGTGCAAAAATCATAACAAAGGAGTAAAATGACATCATCCTTCTCTATCTTAAGGGAAGGTCTAGTTTGCATTTCATTCTTTGGCTTTCCATACACAGCACTAGATACCCCTAGAGTCATGGTTTACAAATATGCAAGTTATTGGTGGGGATACAAGAGCTGACAAGATGGTCTTGTAAGTTAACAGTATAGCTGGGAACATTGAAAGATAGAAGGCCATTAATATCAAACATTGATATTAAATACCAAAATTTAGAGGAGGAAAAGTCTATAGACCAGAGACAACTGGAGTGTGGATGGTGTAAACTAGATTTGAAGCACAGAAGAAGTTGCCTGGCATGCTGGAAGGAGAGGGCAAGGAAACAAAAGCCATGTGACAAATGTAGGTGAAAGTTTGTAATAGTTAATGCTTAGTATAGCTACAGACTAGTCCCAGACACAGTAACCCTTTGCTTTTGGGTCTTTTTAATATAGACCAATGAGAATAGATTTTTGAAAATGGACATATAGAATATTAACAGCTGTTCAATAATAAACAACTTTTCTTGGCATTCCTTACTACACACTGATACCAGGTTGTTTATCTTGCTGTATAGTTTTGTGATTCCTTTTTAAATCTAAAATACCTAATATTTTATCAGTTCATTTTATTATTTCAAGAAAAATAAGGGCCTTAGGCATTTCTAGAAATGTAGTTGGGAAGGGGTTTTTTGTTTTTGTTTTGTTCTACATGGCTAAATTATCAAATGTATTGCTCAAGGAGATTCTCAAATGGATACAGCCAAGCATTTCCATGATAAAGCCAATGTGCTAAATTCATTTCTGGACTAAATTTCACTCTCTGTGAAAAATCGATTTCTTCCTTCAAGCTCCAAAACATTGTCTGATAAACTGTCTATACTTTCAGTATAAAACAAAACAAAAACACCCCTGACATCTTAAGTTATAGTATCCCAAGCAACATAGATCAATTTTCACACAATCAGGAGTTTTTCCAGATTGAGTATTTCATAACTTGATAAAGTTCCTCAGTGTTGAAAAAGATCAGTGGAGGTGAAGACTGGAACTTCAGCATCAGAGATTTTTTTTTTTCATGTTTTATTTCTTGTATCTTTCATTGTCATGTGACTGAATTGAATTGGGTATTGATTGTGACACCCAGAAGAGCCTCTTTGGGCTCTGACAGCAGGGAGACTTTTCTAATCTTTTCAGGAGAAAAGGAAGTATCTAATTCATTATAGATGGTAAACTGTAGTCCTATACAGCAAAAACAACACTATTCCAGCAGTGCATGTTTTCTTCTTTTAAGTTCTCTGAATTGTAATATGGAGAATTTTGCAACTGCTAATTTTCTTGAAGGTATTAAGTTAGCCAAAATAAGCATATATTTCAGTAAAAGCCCATTTGATGATCTTGGATCTGTTTCCTTAGCAAGATTAACAGGGAGAGAGCCTATAATTTATTTTAAGGAAAGAGTAAAAGAGAAAAGGTCATTTAATTTGGACTTTTTAATAGGTGGATTTGGGCTTACAAAACTTGGCTTTTCTCTGCAGTTTCTTGCTTTTTATTCCACTTAAGAAAAAGTGAGCTGTGTAGTACGCAGAACGTACATTGAAGGGCATCCAATTTCTAAATGTTCATTGTATTCCTTTTCTGAATCAGGCTGTTCTCGGATTTCACAGTGCACCTATTAGCTCATAATCAGAGGTAGAATAATGCCAGTGACATTTTAAACCTGATTTGTTGGTAAAAGGTTGGGGTCTGCATTCAGCTAACATTTACTGAGTGCCAACAATGTGCTCAGCCCTGTGCTTGGTGTTGTGCCTACAAACAGGAGTAAGCATGGTACCTGCCCTTGAGGAGCTCGAGGCTAGTGGGGTAGGTCGCTAATGACCGATTATTCTACACAAAGTGGTGAGAGTTCTGGTAGAAGTCTGCACCAGGGGCGACAGAAGCCCAGAGTGGGCGGCACATCGCAAAGTGTGGGGAAATTAGGAAAAACTTCCTGGGGGAGGTGACCCCTAGGCTGAGGCGTGAAGGAGGAGTAGGCTGGACCCAGCTAAGTGACTGTTAAGAGAAAGGAATGTCAGGGAGGATAGCACATGTCAGAGCAGTGGCCCGAAATGACACGGTTGTGTGTGGTGAATAACGGGCTGTTTTCACCAGTGTGAGGGGCGAAAAGTGGACAGAAGCCGTAGAAGCCGAGAGAAGCAGAAGCCAAGTTAGGGAGGGCCTTCTGTGCCAGATCAAGAAACATGGTCAAGTGATGGGGAGACCCTAAAGGATGGTAACTGGGGAGTGCCTTGCTCTGACTTTCATTTTCATTCTGACTTTCATTTAGTTGGAATAATCACTTTTGATACTAGAGCTACTTATAACGAATAGCAGTTGGTAGAACAAATCTAACTAAAAGAACTTTTTGTTAATTTCTTTCATGAGTACCATTCTGGCATCTGACCTAATTTGTCAAATAGGTACATAAGAGAAACGTGCCTTTGGGCTGAGCTGGATTTCATTCTGGAATCACACGACCGATCAGGTCATGGGGTTCACATCTAGCTTCTGGTTGTAATTGTTTCGGACTCAGCTACAACCTTGTCCTCTTTATCCCACCCTCCTCCTATGTGTCTTGCTTGTCTCTGCTGTCTGTCATCAGTGTACCTTCTAAGGAGGACCCCTGCAACCTATTCTTATCCCAAGACGAGCAAAGCCCAAAGGAAGCCCTTTCTGGATTTGTCTTTAGAAAAAGCAGTATTAAACTAAGATTAGGAATCCCTGTAATCAGAACTCCATGCCAAGTTTTACAACTTGGCATAAATTTGGGGCCACTATGCATGTCTGTATGTGGCTTATTTAATGTTATTTTTAGTTTGGCACAATTAAATGAAATCCATTTAGATATAAAGACTGTTAATGTTCATAAATGTGATTTGACCAGGATTATATTGATCGTCCCTAATGGGTCATGATTTAAAAGTTGTATATCAGTAGTTTGAAGTAAAGAACATTCTCACACTGGGGACAAATATAACATACATGGATGTAAATTTTCTAATGAAAATTATTTAGTCTATGCCATGGGAAACTTTGTGGTGGTCTAGTAGTTCAGTAGATCCCAGCCCCCACTGAGCTTGTAAATATATTCTGCACTGTCAGAGGTATGATGGAGATTAATCTGTCTATCTAATGGGCAAAAACGTTTTGAGCTGAAATATTAAAATTATGTGTTGAAACCCCTATTGGTCAAATAACCAAGGAAGAATAAAGTGAAGTCAAATCATTTCATTTACTTTGAGATTTCTGAGCCTAAAGTTACCTGAGGAAACAAAACTAACACCCATGAAACATCATAACATAGAATAAAAGAACATGCCGATGTAGGACTTACACCCAGGTTCTGCAATTTAGAAGAGGAGAGAAAGCCTCGTGGAATACTTGAGACAAGAACTTGACAGTAAAGGATAGGATAGCATGAAGCAGGCCGGCAAGAAAAGAAAGAACGGTAGTATTCCATGTGAAATCCACGTGCACAACTTAGGTGAAATATAAGTAGTCTTCAAAGTTACTACTGACAGCAAGGCTACAGCAAGTATAATAAAACTACGAGTTCCCCAATGTAGGTTTGTTGGCTCTTTTGATGCAAGCTTTTTTCATACTGTCTTACGTTGTTAAGGCAACGTTCCTTTCTGTTGTATCTTCTCTACCCCAACCATGATCCAAGATTAATGTTAATAAAAGACTCCCTGTAAAATAAAAAGGAAGTATGTACAGGATGCAGTTAGCAGGTGGTTTTTATTAGCTATAAAGAATGACTTCAGTCACATTTCATTACCTGAGGAAAATTTTGAGTCAAAATACATAGTAAACTCCCTAAATAAGCAAACTTTGAATTATAGCTGTTAAAATTCCCCCATGAGGTTCTGGAATTCCCTGTTTGAAAAGCTGGAAGATAATAACTTCTGAAAGAATATCTAGCTTTTTTCCAATTCTAGGAGACACATATAAAGAATTTATTTTAGTCGCATTTTCCATCATTTGTCCTGACTAAAAAACAGGAGCTCTAAAAACAGGTGATAATTACTGGCTAATCGTTACACAGTGACATAGGTGGAGTAGAGCTTGGTGTTAGAACATCCAGGAGAATCAAGGCAGAGAAAATAGATCTACAGGGCTTTTGGGGATAAAAATTCTAAGTGTTCACACACTATTCTAGAATCAAAAAGACAGTCAATGATGCTACCATCTCCTTGCCCATTTTTAACGACTTAGCCAAGTTTTATTTACTCTGCAGAAGCTCAAAAAATAACCCACAGTATGGGACCATCCAGCAGGTGTCTTGCTGCTGGGAGAGTTCAGCTGCACACCTGGTGTGAGATGTTTCTGTCTCTAGAAAATGGAGCCGCTTGGCTGCCCTGAGGAACCTGGGTGCAGCTCCCAGGGCGGCACAGCAGGGACAGGCCCGGCCTTGCTGACGGCTTCTTGCAGCTGGGGTGATAGATGTACGCAGGGAAGAGGGGCTGTTTGTGGGCAGCCAGAGCTGTTTTAGTCAGGTGAAGCAGGAGATCTGTTAACAGAGGCAAGAGGCTGTGGCACAACTCTATCACATTCTTTGGAGGATCCCTCTCTCACCCCCGCCCCTAAAATACAAAGAAAATGTAGAGATGTTAGTGTCCACTGAATCAGTACCCATCTAGGCCACTCTCCAATATTTATTTTCCACTTAATTTTTTTCCCCATGAAACCTCATTGTGTGGCTCTTGTTGAACTAAAAGAAAAATATTAAGAAGAGCCTCTCCTGTCCGGAGCCAACTACTTTGTTTGCAAAGGCCACTATGATTATATTTAGTTCTGTGAATGGAAGAAATGATAAAGTATATGGCTTAAAAAATTGTGTTGCACCACTGCTTAAAAGGACACAAAGTGTGGACTAATTGATCTTGAAATCTCTCCCAGCTCTAAAATGAT